GAAAGTCTGAATCTGAAGAAGGGAGATTGCTACAGTATGGAAATCAGGGGACATTCTATAAAAATGTGGTAATCCCATTGGCCACTGAATGGAGAGAAAGCCTCTACAAAGGCACCGGGCAGAGGAAGTCCAGAGATCATCTGGAGAAGGTGTGCAGATCAATTTAATGGAGCATAGAGACCAAAGCAGGAGAGGAGGGCAGAGGGTGGAGATGATTCACAGAAGGGCCTCATCTGCCAGACTAAAAATTCTGAGTTGTATTCTGGAGGCAGTGCGGAATAACAATAATAATTCAAATTAGTATTTTTAAAGTCTTTTTCTTTTTCTTGTCTTTTCCTTTCTTTTTATTTAAGATGGTTTCTCTGCATAGCCCTGGCTGCCTGGAACTGGCTCAGTAGATCAGATTGGCCTTGAACTCAGAGATCGTCCTGACTCTACCTGCCGAGTGCTGAGATTAAAACCATGCACCGCCACCCATAGCTATTTGAAGACCTTTTTGAACAAAAATAAAAATTGTAGCACAATGTTGAGTGATAAACTTCATATGTGAGGAAAGCAACCCACCAACCAACCACGCAAGACTTCCTCCATTTTTGCTATATTTGCTTTTTATGTAAGCACATAGGTATGTACATCTGCATGTGTGCAGATTTTAGAGTACACATGCCTGTGATGATTTACATACATACAGAGCCTGCCAAATGGCTCCTTTCTTGAAGGCTTGGTTCCCCCATGCAGTGGGGTCAGTCATTGAGAGGTGATTGATTCATAAGGGCTTTGAACTAATCAATAGAGGAATCTATTTTTTAAACATTTGTGTACAGCTGTGTGTGTGCCTGAGAATATATATGCATACCACGTGTGTACAGGAGCCCAAGGAGGTCAAAAGAAGCATCAGATCCCGGAGTTAAAGACAGTTGGGAGTTACGGGTGCTGGATATTGAGCCTCAGTCTTTTGTAGGTGCAGTAAGGCAGGGCGGTGGTGGCGCCCCCCTTTAATCCCAGCACTTGGGGGTCAGAGGCAGGAAGAACTCTGTGAGTCTGAGGCCAGCCTGGTCTACAAAGTGAGTTCTAGGATAGCCTGGACTGTTACACCCAGAAACCCTGTCTCAAAAAAAACCAGAGAGAGAGAGAAAGAGATACACACACACACACACACACACACACACACACACACACACACACACAGAGAGAGAGAGAGAGAGAGAGAGAGAGAGAGAGAGAGAGAGAGAGAGAGAGAGAGAGAGCGCGCAGTAAGCATTCCTACTGCTGAGCCGTCGTCTCTCTAAGGCTTGGAGGAAGTAGACCACTGGGGACCTGGCCCCTGTCTGTTTGCTGTTGGCCAACAAGTAAGGTGCTTTGCTGCACTACACACTTGGCCGTGCTCCACGCTCCCCATGTTCCATGTTCATCACACAGGCCCAGAATCAGTGGAACAAAGAGACACTGAACAGGAACTTTTGAGAACTTAAGGCAAAATAAATTCTTCCTACTGTAAGTTGTTTCTCAGATATTCTGTCTCACTGATGAAAATTTACACAGTGATTCAGTGGCTGTCTTCCTTTTTCTGCCTTTTGTGCTGAATCATTTCAAAGGAAATTACTAAGAGTGTAACATTCACTTCTATATATTTTCGCATAGTTTTCCAAATCTTTTTGTTTGGTTGGTTTTCTGAGACAGGGTTTCTCTGTGTAACAGCCTTGGCTGTCCTGGAACTCATTTTGTGGACTAGTTTGGTCTCGAACTTAGAGATCTGCCTGCATCTGCCTCCTGAGTGCTGGGATAAAGGTGTGCGCCACCATGCCTGGCCAGTTTTCCAAACTTAAACATTTGTTTTCAGATCTCCCACATTAGCACTGAACTAATGTGACTGCCTATCGACAGGCTGGTAAAACTAGACAGTTTTGCAACTATGCTGACAAAAAAAAAAAAAAGGTCTAAAAGTCATTTTTGCAGAACCAGAATCCAGTCTGGTATTTGACTGTGTCTTTAAGTTTGTTTGTTGGTTAGCAAACAGAATCACCCTATTATGTAGCCCCGGCTGGCCTTAAATAAATTTACTGCCTCCCTCTCCTGGTGTGTGTGGTGCTAGGGGGGGAATTCAGGTTCTTGTGCATGCCAGGCAAGTCCTCCACCAAATGAGCTACATCTTCAGTCTTTACATTCATTCTTTAAAAATAAGTATTTTAAAATCATGTGTCTTTGTGTAGGTATGTTTACGTGAATGCAGGTGCCAGAGGAAGCCAGAGGCATCGGGTCTTTGGAGCTGGAATGACCAGTGATTGTTGGTTTGAGCTGAGAGAAGCAATTCCTGAGCTAGAGCAGAAAACCACTGAGCCATCTCTCCCGACCCCACATTCTTGATTTGGCTGTCTCCTTGGATCTATCATTGAGTGGCTTTCTCTAGCCCCTAGAAACAAGAGTTCAGATCTACAGGCTTTATTTGATTCAGTTTCGATTGTTTTGGCAAGAAAATTTCATTCACTGATGGCATTTATACCTTGTGCTGCAAGATCACGGGGACTTCATAAAAATGTTGTCCCTGGGTGAGCGATGTTAAAGTAGCTTCCTGGGTTGGAAGTGTGTGTTTCTCCTTGGTGACGGCACACTGGACGGAGGGACACGTGGCAGGCAGCACTGTTCCCATTTTTACATCTGTTTGCAGTTGGTCAAAATTCAAACGAACTTTATTACAACTGCGTTATTGTAAGGTCTCTCCTTTTTCCTGTTGTTCTTAACCCAAGTGAGAAGCCAGGCTTTCCAAACAGAACAAGCTCGATGACTTTCTTTTGTCTTTTGGAGACAGGGTTTCTCTTTGTAGCCCTGGCCACCCTGGAATTCACTCTGCAGACTGCCTGCCTCTGCTTCTTGAGTGCTGGTTTAAAGGCACCACTACCAGGTGAAACCTATGGCAGCTATTCCTTTTTGTTTTTTTGAGACAGGGTCTCTCTATGTAGTCCTTGGCTGTACGACACTTACTTTGTAGACCAGGCTGGCCTTGAACTCACAGATCTTCCTGCCTCTGCCTCTCAAGTGCTGGAATTACAGACGTGCACTATCACTGCCTGGTTTAGATTACTTTCTTGACATCGATGCGGAAAATTGTCTTTACAGGATCTAAAAGCAACTCCTGGAGCTAGAGAGGGAGGGGGCCAGGGAGCTAGACCAGAGCCATGACAGGTTTTTAATAGCCCTGCCAGGGACCAGGCCTTAGTTTGAGTTTACTGGAACTGCCTGGAGCTGAGTAAGCGGGGTCTCGGGAAGACCACAACTCAGGGGCAACCAATCAGCAAGTGACCCACAGCCTCTGCTGGTTCATCAGGAGCGGCCCCCCTCCTCAAGCCTTCTGCTCACTAAAGATAGCTTCCCCTGCCCTGCAGCTAGAAGGTTCCTAACCACTAGAGCTTCCCACCAGTCAGCCCCCAGACTAATCTTTCCTCCACCAATCAGCACCAGATTAATCCCTCCTCCCTGGAATCCCCCTAACTCTGCTTCAAAGAAGCTTGTGACCTCCCTTCGGGGTCGCTATTTGCCACCCCAACATGTTGGAAATAATAAATGCTCTTGTTGATTGCATACGTGACTGATGGTCTTTCTTGGGGGATTCTCTAAGACCCTAACAGAGATGGTTAAAGGTGCTTCCTGCTCTTCTAGAACTCAAGTTCCGTTCCCATTATCCCTATGGGTTGGCTACCCATCAGCTTTACAATCCCCCAGCTCCAGGGGGTCGTATGTCCTCTTCTGGCATCCACAAGTACCTGCACACAAGTGCTGACACACAAGCACACAGAGACACACATCCACATACATAATTAGAATAAATAAAAGTTAAATCTTATTACTACTGCCAGCTCAAAGTGCTAAATTGTAACAGGGACTAGGTTCCTGAAGTACAGATTTTGGGTATTTTTATAATAGTTTACAATAGCTCGATGCTGCACTAGTTACTGAGTTTGTGACCCCCAACACAAGCTGTAATTAAACTCAACAAACTCAATGATTCAACACTCAGTACAAAACAAAACAACAAAAATCCAACAACAAGCAAGAGAATTATTCGTATTTTTTACCACACTAAACCTAGCAAGGGCCTTTAGATCTGGAAAAGAAATATAAAGGCAGGTAGGTTTTTGCCCGGAAACTATGTCAGCAAATAGATGGTCGGAATCAGTAGAAGTGTGTAACAATCTAGAATGAAGAGAAAGAGGATAAACCAAGAAAGGGAATGAGGTGTGGGTGAGGGGAGGCGTCGTGGGTCCAGGAGGGGGCTGAGGAAGCTCCTTCTGCGTTCTTCAGGAAGCAAGGCCTGAGAAGGGAATCCCTAGGAGGACCCAGGAACCATCCATCTCTCTCTATCAAGACCATCTGCAAATCTTAATTCAGAAGGAAGGAATTCCACAAGACGCCCACATCAAAGAGCACTAATAGACGTCCACCACTTCCTTAAAGCTGCGAACAGAAGGGCTCGGCCCACTCGTGCATCCAGGAATTTATTTGATGTCTCTGCCTTCCCCAGCTTTCACTGACAATTTCCAGAACCAATCATCTCCAATCATAGCCCCGCCTCTCCATCGATGTGTGAAAGACATAGATGTCAGCCAATAAAAAATAAGAATGAGGATGCGACGGCCGGGCTCTGCCCCTTTTACCTCAACGCGCTCAATAATTGGAGGAAAGGCTTGAGCAGCTGATATTAACCACCAATCCCTAAGGGCGGAAGAGGATGAAGGGCAGAGCGATGGGCGGGGGTGACGTGGCAGTGACAGAAGCATAAACTGAAATGACTGACGGAAGTGCTAGCCAATCGGAAGCCAAACCGGCCGGGCGCTCTGCATTCTCCCGTCTTCGGACTTCAGAAAAGCACCAATGGTTTCGTAGATCTGCCTGATTGGCTTCCCTTTGAGCCAATCGCAAGCAGGCCTGGAGGACGCGCCGCGCCCCGAGCCTCTCACTGGGCGGAGTAGTATGACAGGCCCGAGAGAAATGCCAATGTCCGCGGGGTCTTCCGCAAGTGACATTTGGCGGCACCAATCGCCGCCCTCCTTCCCGGCGGCCGAGCCCTCCTTCCCGCGGCGGGGCTGGCGGGGCGGGGACGCTGCGCGGCGGCGGCTGAAGCGCTAGCCGTGTTGGGCGCTCCGGGCGGCGGTGGCGGCGCTCGTAGGCGGTTCCGGTCGTGTCTCTCCGGGCGGCGGCGGCGGCTCATGGCGGCGACCGAGCTGAGAGGAGTAGTGGGGCCGGGCCCGGCCGCCATCGCAGCTCCGGGCGGCGGCGGCGCGGGTCCACCCGCGGTGGGAGGCGGCGGCGGACGCGGGGACGCGGGGCCCGGCTCCGGGGTGGCGTCCGCGACGGCAGCGGCGGCGGGCGGCCCGGGCCCCGGGGCCGGGGGAGTGGCGGCGGGCGGCCCGGGCTCTGCACCGCCAGCCGCGGGCTCGGGTGGTTCGGGCGCCGGGGGCTCGGGCTCTGCTAGAGAGGGCTGGCTCTTCAAATGGACCAATTACATCAAAGGCTACCAGCGGCGATGGTTCGTGCTGAGCAACGGGCTACTGAGCTACTACAGGTAACTGCTTCCGGGGCGCCGCGCTCACCTGGCTTCCCCCAGTGCAGCCCACGGACCCGCGCTGTCACTCTCTGCCGGCCGGCTTCGCAGCCAAGGTCGCTCTAGGTCCCTGTCTGTCTGTCACCTGTACAGGTTGACAGCTTGCAAAAGTCAGAACCGCCCCTGTCCCCGCCATCACCCGTCTCTGGTACCTCATCTGCCTCCATCCCTGGGTCTTTCCTGTCAGCAATTGTTTGGAGAGCATCTGCTCTGCCATTGTATTTCCGCTACCACGTGGGCGCAATCGCTAATTCTGCAAGTAAGGCACTGTTGTGAGGCTGGAGGGGCACAGACCCAGCCCGGGCACTGCCTCTCAGGAACTTACAGTGGAAATTCTAACTCCTAACTCTTTGTGCTCCAGTCTCTAAAATTAAAGGTTCCTGATATACTCTTGATAGTATCTGCCCTTGCTTGCTCACTCCACACATTCAGACATCAGAACTCCACAGACAGGGAGACTTCGGGATTCTGTCCACCATATGTCTTACCTCTGCAAGTGTGCGCTTACTTTCTAGGTCTGGACAGCCCAGAGTGGAGATGTGTACTCTACATAGCTTTTACTTTTTCTTGCCCCACCTCCTCCCACAGGAATGATTGTCTTATCCAGCAGTTCTGTGCTCTTTTTAATTTTACTTAAGATTTAATTTTATTAAATGCTTGTTTTTGAAATGATTATTAAAGTTTCCCAATGCTTATTTTGGTATGGCTAATGTATACTTACTATGACTCATAACGTGGTCATAACATGTCACACTCTGGGGCTTATATTACTAGACAGAGGTGTTGAGAGGTGATTTGGGGATAGGTCATAAGCATTCTCAATGGCTGGGCTTTGTGGCTGGATGCCTTACGTGGGACATTCATTCAGTATGCGTAGATCTCCTCGCTCCCTAGGAGTTAGGACATGTTCCCATGTTCCTGACAAGGAAGCATACTTAGCATGGGCAGCTGTCCCAAGGTCTTGGAGAAATCTGGATTTGAAACTACTATTCATACCAATATAACCTAAAACCTAGGTTAGTGTCACATGAACCAATTAGATACAGAGATAATTACCTAAAACACAGTTTATGGATCACGGTTATAATGTGTTTCATGCAAAAAGTACAGAAGTATACTTTAAGAGGAATTTGCTTAGTGTAATTCCATTTCTAATTGAATTCTCTTCCTAAAGGCCATCCAGTTTGGGAAGCCACCACACTGATGAGAAGAGTGGCTCAGCCTGTATTTCTTTGCAGTTTCACCAGTAGTCACTCTGCTACCAAGAAGCTCAGAGTGAACCAATAACTTTCTCATCAACAGCATTGGCTTGTCTCTTAGGGAATTTTAAGGAAAGTTTGAAGATAAGAATTGGAGGTTGTTGTGAGAACATGCTTGTCCCTTCTCAACCATAGAAGATGCCTTAAGATAGCTCATCCTCCATGCTTAAGCAACATTAGTTGTGAGTAGGTGCATTTGCATTGTGTATTCTAAATTAGTTTTAATACAGCCCCTTTCTTCTGCCCATCTAGCACTCAGTTTAGGATTGTAACATACATCTAAAGTTTTAGTTTGGCCCAGAGTTTTTTTTTTTCCCATCTATTCAAGCTCATATCTTGTTTTAATTGACTATTATTCTAATGTTAAGTTGATTCATATCCTAACTTGGTTCATAAATCACTAATAACACTGATTCCTCATTTTCAAAAATTGTTCATTAAGGGCTGGGCATGATGATAACCAGCCTTTAATTCCAGCAAAAGGCAGAGGCAGGTGGATCTCTGTGAGTTTGATGCATGCTGGTCTGCATGACAAGTTTCAGGACAGCCAGAACCACATAGTGAGACCCTGTCTCAAAAAGAAAAAAAAAATGTACATTATCCAAGGACTTTAATATCATATGGTCTTGGGTTGTAGAGATGGCTCAATAGTTAAGAGCCACTTACTGCCCATACATAAATGTAGTCAAAAGACATAAAATAAGCTGGGTGGTGATGGCGCACGCCTTTAATCCCAGCATTCAGGAGGCAGAGACAGGCAGATGTTTGTGAGCTCGAGCCAGCCTGGTCTTACGGGATAGCCAAAGCTACGCAGAGAATCCCTGTTTCTAAAAACCCCAAACAAACAAACAAAAAACCCACGTAAAGTGAATCTAAGAAAAATTAAGACTATTCTATGGTCTTTAATCCAACCAAGTTCTTGCATGATCTGCTTTGCAGGCTACTTGATTGTTCAGTGTCAATCTTGATCAGTGTTGATCTTGGACATTAATAATTTACCTGTTGCTCTCTCCCTCGTATTTGTTGCTACTTTTACCTTCTTTCTCACAGTAGCTAACTCCATGAAAACTCCTTTTAAAACACACTAAAATATGCCGTTAGCCTGTCCTTTCCAACTAGGATGGTCCCATTCACACAAACCAGCCAATCCACAGGGTCCAGTTTATCAATCTACACATTACCACACACTCCCAGAATTTCAGTGAAGTACCTCCTGCCTACAGCATTGGCAGTTTATTCTTCCTAGTAGGGTGCCTGTGATCCCCATCTCTTTCCTAGAATTGCTTAACTATGTTGTTCCTTTTCTGATTGTCACATGTCCAAAACCTACTCTCTGACATATGCCATTTCTAAAATACTTTTTTCCTTCATAGACTCCATCCTCTGATGCAGAGAAGAACAGACATGAGCAAGCTTTCCTTTTCAATCTTTCTTTTGCTTCTTTACATAGATGCCCCATCACTTGCTCTCTTGTACAGAATCCCAGCTCTCCCCAAAACACCCCAGGCTATAGTATTAGTTTTCCTTTTAGCTTCTGGAGATTAAATTACTATTTCACCTGGCCTTTTCAGGCAAGAACTTTCTAGCCAGAAAATAACCATGTAATATTGTAATGACTGAAGAACTTTTCCTACACTCGGAATCTTTTCCTGCCTCTGTTTTAAACATTTATAACCATAGGTATGTTTGCCCAAGCCTAAGAGCTGTGGTCAAGCCTGCTTCCTTCTCAGTGTTCCTTAGTGTCTGTTAAACAGCTATAGAGTTTATATTATCTGAGAAACTTCTTTGGTGTGTGAAGACAGTGGAGGCAGAAGAGATCTTGGGAGCCTGTTAGTGAAAAGTACCAATAAGGAGGAATGTGATAGAAGACCCAAGTAGTAAGGGTAAGCTAGCTTTCAGCTGTGGGTCTGTAATTCAACCTGCATTATTCATAATGTAACTGAAGCTTGGGACTGGGAGGTAAGAATAGAAAAAGCAGGGATTCACGTTACAGTGGCAGGTGCAGGACATGGAAGATGGCCAGTCCTTTGAGACCCCCACCCCCACCCCATGATCCCTTATTGCTCATTAGCACATTAGAGAAAGAAAAGTTCCACATGATGAAATGAACAACGGTGGATCTGTCTTCTTCCTAAGGGCAGTCAACAGACTTTCTCAAACATAGGAAATCTTGGTGTCTGGGGAAGGGTGTGTGCCCTTCCTGGCATGTAGGAATTCTGGATGTACCAGGTGTGTTTGGCTGCTTGGCTCTACTGCGTTGTACTGTGGCAAAGGACTTTGACCTCTTTATGTTCCGAGTTGGACAGGGAAAACTGTGGTTTCAATGTGAAGGTCCCTGGGCATAGCAGCAGTGGAGAAGAAATGAGCACACTTTTCTCTGTGTGATCAGTGGTGCTGGGAGTTTAATCTTTAATGTGAATCCTGATATTTTATGTCAAGTGCTTTGTGGCTTGTTGTCACCAAGTAATGTTGTAAAGTTCAAAAGTTAGTCTATTAATAGAACTGTCAGTAGAGATTGGGGAAATTTTTACACCCAGTCCTCTTGAGTGCAGACCTGCTGAGTCTTTCCTGGCTATTAATAGGATGGCTTAGGAGTTCCTATCAATAAAAGTCTGGAACTTAGGAAACTACATTTTCCAGGAAGATTAAAATGCCTGGTGATTCTTTTGTGGTTATTCTTTGTTGTCTCAGACAGGTAGCTATTCTTATTTCTTATCATTTGAGCCATGACCAATAATAATTAATAGTCTAATCACTTAAGGTTTGCCTTTTATATGCTTCTGCAATACAATCCTAAGTGTGGCGTGACAGTTCTCATTTGGGCTGATTTACAGTGAGGGGGTGGCACAGTGTATAAAAATGGAGCTATTCTTAGAGAATGAGAGTGTCAAAAATTTTTGTTGCACAAGGTTATAAAGTGTTTTATAACTTGCTAAGTAAAAAGCAGTTTCTGACTGCAAATGGGCACGAGAGAACTTTGTTAGGTGAGGGAAATGTTCTTCACTTGGATTGGGGTAGTGGTTGCACAATTGTATCCGCTTGTCAAAACTCATTCAGTTTTACTTAATTAACTGATGAATTAATATTTCATGCATTTCTAGCTCAGTAAAGACTGTATTTTTAAAGCTAATGGTAAGAGGAACAGTGGGGCAATAAAATCTGATTCATACATTGCTTATTAGCTTTGAAAGCAATTTCCCACTGCTTTAATTTCCAAGGGTTGAGAGAACTGTAAGAAGATTGTTAATTCCTAATACTACTTAATTTTCAAAGTGCTCAGAGTTATGAAAAGAAATTAAAAGCAGAGCAGGACAAATGTCTATTGCCTTTCTGTTTAGCCTTTTTTGTCTTGCTATGGCAGGTCCAAGGCAGAAATGAGACACACCTGCCGTGGTACCATCAACCTCGCCACAGCCAACATCACTGTGGAGGACTCTTGCAACTTTATCATTTCCAATGGTGGTGCTCAGACCTACCACTTGAAGGCCAGCTCGGAAGTAGAGAGGCAGCGCTGGGTGACAGCCCTGGAACTGGCCAAGGCCAAGGCTGTGAAGATGCTGGCAGAGTCAGGTATGAAGCAAAGGAACATTGGGCCTAAGGAACCCAAGTTTTCACCCTTGACTTCCGTGTATTTGATTATGTCCCATGTCCGAGATATCCCAAAATTCTCATTGGAAACTGAGTTCAGTCCTACATATACACGTGATGTTTGGTAATGTCTGGAGACATTTTTAGTTAAAATAATGGAAGCTGGGGTATGACTGGCACATAGAGACTAGAAGCCAAAGAAACTGCTCAATTCCCTATGAGGTACAGAACAGCCCCCCACCCTCCAACAAAGAATTAACTAGCCGAAGTTGAAAAACCTTGGTACTAGAGATATGACATAGCACTTATGCTTAATTTTTAATTTTTTTTTTTTTTTTTTTTTAAATTCAAGGTCTTACCCCATCCTCCAGCCTCCTGAGTGCTAGGACTAAGGACATGCTCCACTATACCTGGCCTGTGCTTTTGTTTGTAGTGTTAGTTGACACATAACTACTTCATTACTAGCTCAGTAGTAGGAATCTTACAACTCATTGTTTGGACCTATGTATATTTTTCTTCTCTGGGTGTCCCCCCACTCCATCTGTAGTTTAAGACGACCTTGAACTCCTGATCCCTCTGTCTCCAGTCTTAAGTGCTGGTGTTTTAGGCCAGCTTCTGATAGCTTCTTATTTGTTAAAGTTGTAACAGAGTTGATAGATGACCTGAAAAACAATCTTATCGGGCCTGGAGAGATGGCTCAGTGGTTAGGAGTTCTCAGCGCCTGTGTCGGAAGCTCACAAGCATTTGTGACTCCAGCTCCGGGAGGATCGCTGCCTCTGACTGCTAAGGGCACACACACAAACACAGTTTAAAGTAGTAAAAATCTTTTTTTTTTTTTAAATTAGCTTTTTTTTCTAAAGAAAATGATAGGATTTGCCCTCAAGATACTGATAGTCCTACTGAGCTTACTTACTGGCAGAGAACTGAGACGGTCAGCTCTGGCTTTTGTTTGCCAGTTGCCTAACTTGTTTTCCATCATTTCTCATACTGTGCCTAATATCTGTTAAGCCATGAGAGGAAACTTCATTGCTTTATCAGTTTTGTGGTGACAGGTTACATTGTGACCTTGGCCCCTGCCTCGGTCTAGCAGAAAGGACAGGTCTTTTCTTGTTCCTTTTGTTGAATTGAAGGCTGCTGTCAGCTCCACAAAGGAGTGACCCTGCTGGAAAGGCAGTTTGCAGTGACAAATGGTTAAGTACGAAGCTGGTGGGGAGAAGTGCCGTACCAAGTCCCTCTTGGCTTATGATTTGAGAGCTATCTTGTTTTGCTTTTGCAGTGGCTTTAGGGTCAAATAAGTTCATCATGAAGTTCAGCTCTCCCTTGGAGAAGAAAAATGAACAGAGCTTTTAGTGACGTAGACTTTGTCTCAAGAAGCTGCTCTGCACTTCTCAACCCATTTTGCAGACGGCCTGCATGCTTCCCTAAAGATAATGGTGGGTTTGCAGTAATGATTAGTTTGGGTTACACTGGACTCTTCAAGCTAATGTTTAAAAGCTTGTTGCTGGGGATGTAGTTCAGTTGGTAAGAGTGCTTAGCTACTATGTATGAAGCCTTTAATTCCCCAGAACAGCATAAACTAGATGTAGTGGTCACTCTTTCAGGAGTTGGAGCAAGAGGATCAGGAGTTCAAGGTCAGATTGGCTACATAAGGGAGTTCAAAGCTAACCTGAGCTGTGTGAGATGGTGCCTTAAAAAAGAGTTGAAAGGTTTAGTTATGTGTTCCTAATTCTAGGAGCCATCTGGTTTCCCATAGTATCCTTTCTGTCAGTGGATCTTAAACTTCAGCATACATTAGGACTGCTTTGGTCACAATTAGAAACACAGATTCTGGGCCAGTGAGGTGGCTTAGCCGGTGAGGGCACCTGCTAGCCAGCCTGAGTGGAGAGAGAGAACTGACCCCTGTGGGTTGTGACCTCCACATATGTACTATGACACATGTATCCTACCCTTGCCCCCATAAATATAATTATAAATACATGTAATTTAAAAGAGAAATGCAGGTTTCTAGGCCTTGCCACTCATCATCTGAATCTAAGTGTCTAGGAGTGTGACCTGAGACTGTGCACCTTTATGAAGTGCCTCAAGTCTGTATGGTATAGGCCATGGGCCACACTGCAGAGGAATCCTCTGGAATTGCCAGCCCTCAGTTGCTCAGAATGCACATAGTGAAGCATGGTGGTCTACTTGGAGCCAAGTAGGTGGGGCTCTAACTCTCAGTCCTGATCCTGGAGGCAGACGTTGTTAACCTTGGCATCCCTACAGATGAATCAGGAGATGAAGAGTCTGTCTCACAAACGGACAAGACTGAGCTTCAGAACACCCTCCGAACACTCTCCAGCAAAGTGGAGGACCTGAGCACATGCAATGACTTGATAGCTAAGCATGGCACTGCCCTGCAGCGTTCCCTCAGTGAGCTGGAGTCCCTGAAGCTGCCTGCTGAGAGCAATGAGAAAATCAAACAAGTCAACGAACGAGCCACGCTCTTTAGGATAACATCCAATGCCATGATCAATGTGAGTAAAGATGGTGCTCCTCTGGCTTTTTGACACTTCCCTTCTGAAATGTTATGCTTTCCCAGCCTCTTGGAACTAGCTGGTAAAGCGCTCGCTGACTATACTAGGTCTTGCTTCGATGATCAGGTGCTTTAGGTTACATTGTCTGTTGCATGAAACAGGACTGGCTGTCCAGGTGGACGGTGCTCTGCTCAAGTGGTCAAAAGGACATCACATCAGCCCGGGAGGTAGTAAGGAGCCCGGTGGTGCAGCCTTCTTTCTCTGAGTGGCAGGGTATCTGAGGTGCTATTATGTTAGTCCAGTGCCTGAATGTCTTTTGTTTTTGGTCTTGCCTCTTTGCTCTTTTTTTCAAACCTAATCTGTCAGAGCTGAAAGAGCCTCTTGAATCCTTTGCACTGCTGTGTTCTTTCGCTTCCTTCTTCCTTGGAGTCAGACCCTTCCTTCATGGTCAGGCATCCTGCATGTGGAATGGTGAGCAGGGCCTGGCTCGAGCACTGCTGAGAACTTGTAATACTAGTTAGTTCAGTGTTGGCCTTTGATTCCAGAATACTTCCTCCACTTGGGCATTAGAAGACTGTGGGTAAATACAAAGCATCGCTGGCCTTACTGATGTATTGCTAGGAGTGAAAGGAATACCAAGTTTTACAATGCTGGTTTTCCTCTCCTGGTAACTGATTATTACCTGACAGGTTGTTTTAGGTCCTGTGTACATAGAAACACAGAAGGACATTTCGTAAGTGAGACAAGTATTCTGTGAGAAATGGTTTTGCAGAGCTTCTCTCCCCATCTAATTAAATGGGTAAAGTTACCTCACAAGTGCCAGATTTCCTTTGTTTAGGGAATGATCATGAGAAGAGCTAGTTTAGTTCTTGTAGTGCCTGAAGATCAAAGGCCTTTTCCTGTGATGAAGGAGAAATTTCATTTTCTCATTTTGTTTCTTGTTACTTGATGGCAGTTGTGTTAACCTTTATTTTGAGTGTTGAACACCTTCAGGGCTCAACACTCAGCCCTGCATGTATGTCTGTACATCCCTTGTGTGCCTATGGAGGACAGAAGAGGGCATCGGAACTCTGGTATTGGAGTTACTGGTGGCCACAAGCTACTATATGGGTGCTGGGAAACGAACCCAGGTCCTTTGCAAGAGCAGCGAGTGTTCTTAACCTCCAAGCCATTTTCCCAGATAAGTTTATTAGGGTACACAATATTTTGGGGAACACAATACTACCACATTTCCTCTCTTTTTGTCTAAAATTTAAAAAAAGCTTATAACTAATACAAGAAAAACTAATAAGTATATATAATATATACAGTCAAAAATTACATTAACAATGTCTAGTCCATTAACATTTGACAGATTTAGACAAAAAAACTCCATTATATATATTAACAATGTCCAGTCCAGTAACATTTGATAAACTCAGACAAAAAATTTCACTACTTATCCTATTTAAAACAAGTAGTTCCTTTTTAAAAGTAGATTCAAAAATTGACCTTTTTATCTTACCATATTCATATTTTCATAAAAGTTTCAATAATCTACCTTTTGTCATTTTTATATCTTCCCCTTTTTCTTTTTTTTTGGTTTTTCAAGACAGGGTTTCTCTGTGTAGCTTTGCGCCTTTCCTGGAACTCACTTGGTAGACCAGGCTGGCCTCGAACTCACAGAGATCCACCTGGCTCTGCCTCCCGAGTGCTGGGATTAAAGGCATGCGCCACCACCCGCCCGGCCCCCTTTTTCTTTTCAGTGTAGATTCAGTGATCTACCCATTTATCCTATTATTTTTTTATCTTTTTTCTCAGAATAGATTCTATCTGCTTCATATCTATATTCTTTTTTCTTTTTCTTTCTTTTTTTTCTAAATAAAACCTCTGAATCTAATCTCCTTGTTCAGCTTTTTTCCTGACCATTAACAGTCAACAACTTGTAACCAACCATTGTAAACAATGACAATATCCATAACTCATTAAACGACCAAAAACTACCCACCCCACTTCTGGGAAATGTGGGCATTGTGTTCTTAAAATTACTTCCCGCTTTCTAGGGGTGGAGACATCTTTAAGGAATCCTGAAAAGAAAAATTTTGGGTTAATTGTCAAGTCCTATATGTATACTCTTTAGTAAAAAACTACTCCAGACATCACAGTCACCTAAGAATGATGGCTAATTGTTGTCAATGTCAGATGAACACTCAACTATTTGACAGTCTTCTTTTTTATTCTAATAGGAATTTTTTTTTTTTTTTCTAAATAAGACACCCCTGCTTTATAAAACCAAAGCCTCGCCTTAGCCTTTTCTCTCTTGGAAATTGTTCATCTTTGTTCTTTGGGGAATTATTTATCCTCAAGTTCTAGATTATGTCAGGGAATGATCTCCTAGAAGTCAGAACCAAAGTTTCAGGAGGAGGGGACTGTAGCTTTGTGGTAGAATATTTGCCTAGTATGCTCCAGGCCTTGGATTCGATCCTCAGCACAACACACACTGAGTCACCCAACAGCTGGGTAGAAGTAAGCTGTTCTCTCCCCCTTGCTTTCTTGTTCACTGCCTGTGTCCCTATTATTTAGGTGTTGCCTGACATGCACTTTTTATCCTGTGTTGTTATCTGCTTATCTTTCAGGTGATAATCACAATATGCATATTTACAATAAGCCAGGTATGGTCACACATGCCTGTTAATCTCAGCACTCTGGAGGCTTAGGCAGGAGGAACAAGAGTTCAAAGCCTGTCTGAGCAGCTATGTGACATGACAGAATAGACATAGGCAGCACATTGGAGGTGTTCAGCATGTACTAGGAAGGCTAAAGAAGCCAATATGGCATCTAAATGTTGAGAGAGAATGAAAATCTTCCTATAAAGAAGGCAATATAGACTTGGACTCCAGCACTGTCTGCATAACCCAGGGAAACCTACCCATTCTGTGACCTCTATTTCATATCTGTAAATGCTTTGATACTAGTAGATATTTCATGGTTTTGTTGAAAGACTTTAGGAAATAGATTTGAAATGCTCGGCAAAGTGCCTGGTGGTCCAACTATCTCTTGATAACTTTTTATTTTATTTTAATTTTTGAGACAGGATCTCTGTGTAGCTCTAACTGTCCTGGAACTTATGATATAAACCAGGCTGGCCTCAAAATCACAGAAATCTGTTTGCCTCTGCCTCCCTAATGCTGAGATTAAAGTCAAGCACCACCATGCCCAATGGTTCTTGCTAAATTTAATTGTTATCAGTATTATTAAGAAAGAGTAAGGGAGAAGAATTGGTTGGGGTGGTGATGAGCTATATGTGGACCTGTTCTCCTCAGAGTCTGGGAACTGCTGGTGGCTGTTGGGGAAGTAGCTAGAGGTGAGGCTTGGATGGAGTTGGGGCAGTGCAGATGAAGATGAGTGGGCTTGCTGGTAGCTGACTAGAAGAGGCTGAGGCCAGTTTTGAGACAAGCAAGCTGGCTTAGTGCCTTACTAAATGTTTACTGTGATCCCAGTGTGGTTCTAAGCACTGTATGTGAAGTGATAACTCAGAGGTGGTCTCTGCTGTTAGTCTTTGTTACAGACAATGAATGTGAAGCGCAGAGGAGTTCTGTAACTAACTAGATGGCAGGAAAGCTGTGATTTAGGCCAACCAGCCCAACTCCAGATGTGTGCTCCACTGCTTCTGCCGTGGAGGGATGGAAAGAGATTACAGACTCCAGAATATTAAAGGAGAGTCACTAGGACTTGCTATTTGGATGTGAAGAAGGAAGCAAAACTGAAAGCCAGACGCCCCATAGGCTTGGACAGCTTGAAGGCCTTTGGAACCGCTTTGTGATGGAGAAATTCAAAGGAAGAAACAAGAGGCAGCAAGAGAATGTGGTGAATCAAGCGTGAGACCCACTGATTTTGAAGTTACTTTGAGCCATTGAAGAGGCACTTGGATATTCTGGTCTGAAACTCAGAGAGTCCAATTTGGAATCACTGATGTAGTAGCCATTGGTGGACCTGTAGGCAATTGTTGAAACCATGGGAGCAGACATTCTAATAGAACCCTTTAGTTTCTCTGTAACAGAGAATACACTTTCAAGCTTACATTGGTTCCTTCCTTCATTTATTTATTAAGCAAACTTTATGAGGCTCCTGCTTTGTGTTAGGAGCTGGAGACCTGTATATGAGTGAGCTGTAAAATGTGTTTTAAAGTTGCTTGTGATCCTTCTGGAGAGATAGAAACTCAGTCATGATACAGCTGTGCGTGTGTTAGGTAGAAGTATGCTGAAACTGGTAAGGAGATAGAAGAAGCAACTGGTTGCTTTGGCGTGTGGGTGTCATAGAAGTACCATTTCTCTTATAGGTCCTCTCCTTTCTTAGAGAAAGGGGAGAGGGAAGAGCAGTGTAGGCAGAGTGAATAGCATATACCTAAATAGTCAGGGCTGGAAGAAAGTTGTGTGTTCAAGAAATGGTGCGTTCGGTGTGGCTGTGTTGTACAGTATAGAGGTAACAGCGGCAGAGAGGAGGCTTCAGGTCGATGGTGGCCATACTTAGAAGGGCTGTTTGTGTTGTAACCATAATTAGGATTTGATCCTAGCCGTGAGTTAAGGGACTGAGATAATCAGATTGGGGGGCAGAGGGTTGTTTGTTGTTTTCTACATCCCATCCTTGATTCACCAAGTAGTGTTCTAATTTTTAAGATCAGTTGGTTCCTAAATGACTAAAGTAAAAGCAAAGCCAAGTTACCCCATCTCTAGTCTGAGTGAGTGCGGACTCTGTTCACGGTGTCTCAGTCCTCAGCGCTGGGTTATGTGAGTTTAGTTGGTTTATTGAAAGCAGTTGTCATGCACTTTATCTTTCAGCCAGTAGATCTCGGGTGCAGTTCACATGCCCGCCCTTTGTGCTGCTGCCACAAATGCCTTGTCTGGGTTTGCTGCTCACTTGGTATTTGCTTAGTCCTCGTGACCAGGAAAATAGGAGAACTATGACAACGGTGTTCACTCTTTCCCAAGTCTGACCTTGATTGCAGCACAGAGCTGGCTGTCCCTGATACTATGAAATAGCAGGAAGTATTTAATTGTCATATGCTCTCTCATGTTCCCAGAATGAGGTTACTTTGTGGGGAGTCTGACTAGTTGAGGTGACATAACCAGCACTTTCTCTGGACAGGCCTGCAGAGATTTCCTCATGTTAGCCCAGACTCATAGTAAAAAGTGGCAGAAGTCACTACAGTATGAAAGAGACCAGCGTATCCGACTGGAGGAGACTCTTGAGCAGCTGGCGAAGCAGCACAATCACCTGGAGAGAGCCTTCCGGGGAGCCACGGTGCTGCCGGCAAACACTCCAGGCAGTGCTGGTTCTGGTAAAGGTGAGAAACTTAGCTCTTACATAGCTATTCGATATGATCCAGGTGGTTTCCGCAGTTGACAGAAGAAATTCTCTACAATTGGTAGCTCGTGTGAGATGCTTTTGGAGCTGTTGATTTCTTTTGGCTTTTCCACTGCTTTCTACCATTGTTACCATGTTTGTGATCAGTATTTAAAAGAACCCACTGTGCTAGGCATTGGTAAATGTAAGCACAGAAAACAAATGAGGCTTTTCTCCTTGTAGATCAGTGCTGTTCTGGCAAAGGGGACATGAGTGATGAAGATGACGAGAATGAATTTTTTGATGCACCAGAGATTATCACCATGCCTGAAAATTTGGGCCACAAGTAGGTTGTCCTTGACTGTTGAAGAAAATGAACATGTGTATTTATATCATAAGAATCCTTCCCATGAGAATCTGAGCTGGTGACAGTTGCTAAGATGTGGGCCCTTTGTGATAAGTAGATGGAAAACTGTTAGCACTTACACATTGAATACTCCAGAGACCCCAAAAGCATACCCATTCTAAGTGTGTGCAGTGTATTTGGATTGTGCTTCATAAAGAACTGATGAGGCCCAAACTTTAATTCTGGTCTTTTTTCTAATTCTCCTCTGTTTTTCATCCATGAAGACGTACTGGTAGTAATATCAGTGGAGCCAGCAGTGACATCAGCCTTGATGAACAGGTAACTCTTATTTGGAAGTTGTCAGAGTCGAGGGACTTTAGTTTTGATTCCCAAGGATTTGTCTGTGAAGTGCTAAGAGAAATAGAAACTCCTGTTGTTGTTTGTCAAGCATGGGGGAAGGGAAGGGTATAGATAGCAGATTTTTTGTTCTTTGTGGCTGATTGAATGGCTTTGTTTTTGCTTCTAGTACAAGCATCAGCTGGAGGAGACCAAGAAGGAAAAGAGAACCAGAATACCATATAAGCCAAACTACAGCCTCAACTTGTGGAGCATCATGAAGAACTGCATTGGAAAAGAGCTCTCTAAGATCCCAATGCCGGTGAGGTCCTCGAGTACCCAGACTGGTGTCCTCTCCACCGCAGGGGCACTCTGTCCACACTGGAGCAGCTTTAAGCATGGTCTTTATTTCCTTGCTAGTCATAAACCATCCCTTTAAGTCAGATTGTGTAGTTCTGGCTATGGATCTGGTATGTTTCCAGATCATCTAGAGTCAGTTGCTTATGTTTGGTAGAATTTATGAGCAATTCCTGTGGCAGGCAGGCAAGGTGTGAGGCATGCACAGATAACACAGCACTGATACTGTCTTCAAGAAGCACATAGTGGGACCGAAGAGATGGTTTCGTCAGTAAAGGTACTACCATGTAAGCACAAGAACATAAGCCTGGTGACATCTGTGTCTGCCTTCCTATGTACATGCACTCATTCACTCACTACATACATACACAACTACCCCCTCCCAAATTAAAATAAAGGAATGTAGTAGCTAGGTGTGGTAATTCATACCTGTTAATACCAGCACTGGGAGGAATGACAATAGTTTGAGACTAGCCTAGGCTACATAGTTCCATGCTGACCTGGGTTAAAGAGTGAGACAAGTCTCACTCTTACACACGTGCACACCAAAACAAAACATACATAGATTAAAAGAGATAGTCAAGGAAGCAGGTGGATGATATTTTTCCTTTTAGTGCTATGGGAAGTCCTATATACAAAGGAAACACAGAAGTAGTTTATTCAACCTAGTAGGTAAGGACCATCTCCATGGTGAAGATGGATATTGGAGTTGGGCATGGTAGTGCACACCTATGATCCCAGCACTTGGGATGTAGAGGTAGGAAGATCAGGAGTTCAGATTCAGCCTTGACTATGGATCAAGTTTGAGGCCAGCCTGAGCTACTTGAGACCTTGTCTCAAAAATAAGCAAAGAGATGGGATTTGAGCTGACCTCCCTCCCTCTAATTGCAATTCTCCTGTCTGCCCATGCTCTTGTCAAAGGATCTTAAAACTGGAAGTGTGGTCATGTGAGCTCTCAGCTTACTGTCCGTTAGTGGATCATTGCTGCCTTGACTATAATCTAGTTCCTTAGTGGGCTGTGTGCTTTCTCCTGATGGGCAGATCTCTGTCTTGAAGATTAGAGTCAGGATAGCCTTCAGGTGTTAAAGCATCTTTTCTCTTCCCTTAGGGCATTTACAGACACACTGCTCTTTATGCTTGAACTCTGTTTATTTGCCCACCAACCCATGGCCCTTTGCTGTGACTACAACCCTTTTGTTGAGGGATTTTGTTGTAGTGTTTCTTTAATAAACCTCTAGCCTATCTATCAGGATGAGATATTGATCCCCTGTGCTCCAAGAAGCTCCATTGTTTGTGTCTGGCAGTGTTCTGCTTGCTTATTCATTCTACAAGTATTTACTGAGTAGTTCCAATTTGCCTTGTGCAATGCCAGTATGCCTCTTAGGCAGATGTTCGGTTTATAGAAAGAAATCCCAAGCCACATTAATTTGAATCAGGGGTCAGCAAACTAAGGCCCTGGGGCCAAATCTGGCTGCCATCTAAACAGCCATAAGCCAAGAATGTGTTTTTATTTTTTTATTAAGTGGTTGGGGAAGAAATCTAAAGGAATGAAATAATTCATGAGGTTAATGCCCACAAATAAAGCTTTGTGGGGACAGAGATTCTCATTCATTTATTTCTGTTTGTGGCTGCTGTCTTGCTGTAACAGCAGTGTTGAATGATGTGACAGAGACCACCTGGTCCCAAAGGCTTAAATATTTACTCTGTAGCTCTTTACAGAAAAAAAAAAAAAAAAAAAAAAATGGGCACCTGTCTTAAGCAAATGTTGGCCTAACACATTCTTATTTTGAAATCCAGAAGTAGGTTGTCCAGAGCTGGTACCTACAGTGTCAAGACCAAGTTTCTTTCTATTTTGTGGCTCTCTACATATGATTAGGTGCCTTAATTCATAGATCTGTAATGGCTCCTTGAGCCATCAGAGGGATATTTTTCAGTCAGCTAGAAGATGGAAAAATAAGAGCAGGCTGTAACTTTTAAGGGCACTTCCTGGAAATCACATAATCTCTTAATCTCTTAAATCTCTGTGGCCACAACTTACTTATCTGACCATAACTATCTAGAGAAAAGTCTAGAAATGAAGACTTAGGGTGTGGGAGCTGCATGTTCTGTTCATAGCCTGGTACTTGGAAGCAGAAATAAAATACCCTCCTCAGTCTCTTGATACATAGGTACCTACCTCTTCATAGACTATTTCTCAGAGATAGGAACTGTGGTGTTGTTATGTATGTCCTTGCTGCTCATCATTACTGCCTGGCATGGACATTCCGCAAATACTGAAGTAATTAATCAATTGAGCCTCAGAAAACAAATAGGTTTTTATACACATGTATAAGGTTTAGTTTTAAAAGGAAGGATTCCCACCAGTGAGAATGTAGCTCAGTGATGAGATTGCTTGCCTAGGATGTTTAAGGCCCTACATTCCATCTCCAGTACTGCAAAGTAATAATATTGATGATGTTGGGATAGGAATAGTGGTAGCAATACCTGGGCAATGGTGGCACATGCCTTTAATTCCAGCACTTGGGAGGTAGAGGCAGGCAGATCTCTGAGTTTGAGGCCAGCCTGGTCTACAAAGCAAGTTCCAGGCCAACCAGAGCTGTTATACAGAGAAACTCAGTCTCAAACAAAATAAAATAAAATAGAAAGAAAATAAATAGTGATAGTAATTAATTAATTAAAATGAAATGAAGGTTGAACTACAGACAAGAAAAGGATTTTTGTGGTGGTATTGTGTTCCCCAAAATATTGTACACCCTAATAAACTTATCTGGGGTCAGAGATAGAACAGCCACTAGATACAAAGGCTAGAAAATGGTGGCACTCACACCTTTAATCCTAACACTCCAGAGGTAGAAATCCCTCTGGATCTCTGTGAGTTCAAGGCCACATTGGAAACGCCAGGCATGGTGACACACGCCTTTAATCCCAGAAAGCGAGCCTTTAATCCCAGGGAGTGATGGTAGAAAGGAAAGATATATAAGGCGTGGAGACCAGAAACAAGAAGCATTTGGCTGGTTAAGCATTTGGCTGGTTAAGCTTTCAGGCTTCTAGCAGCAGTTCAGCTGAGACCCATTCTGGATGAGGACTCAGAGGCCTCCAGTCTGAGAAAACAAGACTAGCTGAGGATCCGGTGAGGTGAGGTAGCTGTGGCTTGTTCTGGTTCTCTGATCTTCCAGTTCACCCCAATACCTGGCTCAGGTTTGATTTTATTAATAAGAACTTTTAAGGTTCATGCTACAGATTTTAATGAGCATATATTGGAGAAACCTCCAAATAATTGGTGTTTGGGAAACATAAATAGAGAAGGACCCACTTGTTCAAGCATTGAGCACCTTATAGGATTTGTAGGCAAGTGGGCTGGAAAGGCAGGCCCTTACTGTCTCAGAAAGTAGATCCTACTTATAAACAGCTTCTGGGGTTAGATGACCTCTGTGTCTTCTTTCCTTATTGACATCGCCATTAGGAATGTGTAGTTGTGTACCTGCCTCCAGACAAGTCACGCCATCTCTTCAGGCAGCACTCTATCACAGGGAAGCTGGTGTTGGCCGTGGTATTTTGGAACATCTGTTCCTGCTGGCATCTGCCTGGGCATCTGCCTGGGCACTGCCAGTATAAGACACTAGTAGGAGATCAAGGCTCTCTCTCAGGCAGTCTTCAGATAGTCCTCCCTGAGCTCCTCAAGGTGTTAAGCTTCTGCCATATCCCCTGAGCCTCTGAGGTGCAGTGATGTCCCTGTTTCTCTTTGTCCCCAGGACTCATGGCTGCCTGGTGTTGCTAATCTCTGGTTCTTTGTGGTTTGCTAACTCTCATTGGCAGTGAATGATGTCCTTGCTTCCTTCCGCCTAAAATACTCAAACTCATGTGTTTGTGTTTGGCCTCTGAGTGATAAAATGACCATTGTATAAATAATTGTATAAAGCTTGGCACTTTCAGAGAAGCCAGGGTTCTTGGAACATTTATTAGAAGGTGGGTTATATGTAAATGAAAAGTGGTGACAGACTAGTGATGTCCAGACTGTGGTCCAGGTTCTGTTCTGTGTCTGTTAGCACCAGTAGGACACAATTTGTCATGATTTTGCTCTGAATGTGTGAAAATTTTTCTTCATTCTTCCTGAAGTGTTGCCACTAAGAGATTCTGCTGCAGTAAGGATTCAGGCCTTAACTGTTACCAGTTGGTCACTGTACCACTTTCAAGGATTTTCTGTAGTGTAGGCTTCTTTGGAGGCTGAGGCAAGAGTATCACAGGAGAGGATCAGAGATAGAAAGGTGGAAGAAGAAAGAAAAGTGTTCTTTGTTCACTGAAACAGTGCTTAAGTAGTCTTCAAGAGAAAGAGGAACATTGTTCCTCTTCCTTTGTCTGGACTAGAACTCATGCCCGTAATATCCACACTCTTGTAGCTTTATTACTAAGTAAATGTTATAGGCTTACTTGGGAACTCAACTTCCTTTTAGAGCAAAATTGATTCTCTCTCTTTCTTTTTGGTTTTTCGAGACAGGGTTTCTCTGTGTAGCTTTGCGCCTTTCCTGGAACTCACTTGGTAGCCCAGGCTGGCCTCGAACTCATAGAGATCCACCTGGCTCTGCCTCCCGAGTGCTGGGATTAAAGGCGTGCGCCACCACCACCCGGCGATTCTCTCTCTTTCTAAGATTTATTTTATTTTTAATTACACATATGAGTGTGGATATGTGCATGTGAGTTCAAGTGGCTGGAGGACAGGGTCATCTGATTCCCTGGAGCGGGAGTTACAGGTGGTTGTGAGCTAACTGATATGGATGCTGCTAATAGAACTCAAGTCCTCTGGAGGAGCAGCAAGTGCTGTTAACCACTGAGCCATCTCTCTATCCCCTTCTCTCTCTCTCTTTAAATTATGTTTTTGTGTGGGGGGTGCAAGGGAGGCACTCTGTCATACATTCTCTTGAGATGGTCTCTCACAAGTCTTGAAGCTCCCCATTTCATCTAGGCTGAATGGCCACTGAGCTCTTGGGAGGTGCCAGTCTCTACTTGTGCCCTTCCACCACTCCCCCAGTGCTGGGGTTACAAGCCCATGCAGCCATGCCTGGCTTTTTTTTTTTTTTTTTTTTTTTTTTTTTTTAATGCAGGTAGTAGGCATTCAAATTCAGGTCTTCATGCTTGCAGAGTAAGAGCTCCTACCCACTGAGCCCAGCCTCTAGAGCAAATTGTACTTATTTATTTGTTTGTTTGTTTTGATACATGGGTCTCTATTATGTAGCTCTGGCTGTTCTGGAACTCATTATGTAGAACAGGCTGGCTTGGGACTCAGAGAGATCCACCTGCTTCTGCCTCTCTGAGTACTAGGTAAAGGCGTGTTCCACCATACCTGGCCTTAGAACAAATTTTAAATTATCAAAATTATTTAAAATTTCAAAGTTACCTTAGAAATTAACGTATTTTCTGAAGGGAGGCGCAGTGTGAGCAGTATCTGCTGTTCACTTCTCCACCAAGTGGGAAGCATGGGCTCTGGCACACCTAGCACTCAGATAATATTTGTAGAATGGATGGGTACACATTTCCCCTAGCAGAAATGCTTCCACACTCCCTGCATCGCTCTCCACATACTTGCATCGTCTAGTGATTGGGTGCTGTAAGTTGACTTTATAATTTGGAAAGTGAGAGCATGCCCTGTTTCCTCTCAGGCCCAGCAGCAGCATCCATGTCTGGCAATACTGTCCAGCCTCAGAAGTCAGCTCCTGACCAAGACTCAGCAAGCAACTAGCCCAGGGCAGAAGCTGACTTTGGCAATGCAATCATTTCAGTAGTCTGTACTTATAATTTATCACCCCTTGATTTCTCCCCACAAAATGTTCACTATCTAACTCCTCTCTAGGTACACTCCTGAAATTTTTTATTCCTTTAGTAATTCATTCACTCAGTTCCTGTCTGATGAGGTCTCCTATGGTCAGTCACTTCGGGCTGTTGTTGGGTCTGCAGTGCTGCAGAGAAGAGGCATGATTTCCATCTCAGGGAGCTTATAGTTACTGAAATGACAGAAAGCAGTGATTCCTGTCACTCACTGACATAGACGCTAACAAGGGAGAGTGGGTTATCTGAAGTCTAATCCGAGAGCTACAACTTCTTTTCTCTTCCTGTTGCTTTATCTCCTCAGCATCTCAGCATCTTTCTCCAGCTCTCTCCTGTCAATGTCTGGAAAAGCTTTAGATCTGTTCTCTTCCTTACAGGTAAACTTTAATGAGCCCTTGTCCATGCTTCAGCGCCTTACTGAAGATCTGGAATACCATGAGCTATTAGACAGAGCTGCAAAATGTGAGAACTCTCTAGAACAGCTCTGCTATGTTGCAGCCTTCACTGTTTCCTCCTATTCCACTACTGTCTTCCGAACTAGCAAGCCATTCAACCCTCTCCTTGGGGAGACCTTCGAACTGGACCGACTGGAGGAGAATGGGTATCGATCCCTCTGTGAGCAGGTAAAGAGCTCAGACCTAACACTTTTCCTTTCTAATGACTGGGTAGTTTTTGAGAAGCCAGTCTCAGTCAGCTTGGTCTGTCTTCTTTTTCATTAGGGTTCAACACACCAGGCCTGTTGTTCACCGTTGTTGTAGATGTAAAAATATCAAGGGAGACTCTTGGGTGTTTATCACCAATTAATAGGCCTATCTTTCTCTTCTCCAGTCTTCTCTCTTAATTCAAACCTGATTTCATCCAGGTGAGTCATCATCCCCCTGCTGCTGCGCACCATGCTGAATCCAAAAATGGCTGGACATTGCGTCAGGAAATCAAAATCACCAGCAAGTTTCGAGGCAAATACCTCTCCATTATGCCCCTCGGTAAGGCTGCCCGCCATGTTTGTTCCAGTGAAAGGTGTTCTGACATGATGGAGGAGGAGGAGGCCACTGTTTCAGGCACCAACCTCAATCATTTAACTTCCCAACTATCAAATGAGTAAGGAGGCCAGGTCCTCTTTACCTTTATACCATTCTGCCATAAAATTCTTTGTCTCTTTTGTGTATTTACTTTTTGTCTCTAAGAACTACTTTAGACTGTAGGTTCTAGCATTCACAATTTTTTTTTTAAGATTTATTTATTTATTACAGCATGTATGCCTGCAGGCCAGAAGAGGTCACCAGATCTCATTACAGATGGTTGTGAGCCACCATGTGGGTGCTGGGAATTGAACTCAGGACCTCTGGAAGAGCAGTCAGTGCTCTTAACCTCTGAGCCATCTCTCCAGCCCTCACAAATTCTTTTAATGGTATTTCCCCATTACTCCAGTTGCATCTGTACATAGAACATTTAGGATTATGAGATCAGGTTTCTTGGCTAGTCTCTCTCCTATGGTCCTCTCTCCTCTGCTTGATGGATTAGGTGTCATTTATGTAATGACTGAATCCTGGGTAAGATGAAACTTTATTTTATTGGATTACAAGCTATTTTTGTGTCAGGATCAAAAGATGAAGTCTGGGAGTAGGAACCCTGACCTATAGTGTTGGAAGCACACCAGAACTTGGCAGCGTGTGTGTGTGTGTGTGTGTGTGTGTGTGTGTGTGTGTGTGTGTGTGTGTGTATAACTTCTAAGATTTATTTTTGCTGGGCCTGGTTGCGCATGCCTTTAATCCTAGCACGAGAGAGGCAGAGGCAGGTGTATCTCTGTCAGTTTGAGGCCAGTTTAGTCTACAAAGCGAGTTCCAGGACAGCCAGGGCTATTACACAGAGAAACCCTTTTAAGATTTATTTTTACTGTTTTTAATGTGTGTGTGCGCCTGTGTATGTATGTGTATGTGTGTTTGCATGTGAGGGTGTATATATGTGTTCAGTGCAGTTCCCACAGAAGCCAAAGGCGTCAGATCCCCTGGAGCTGGTGTTACAGACAGTTGTGTGCCACCAGATATTCATGCTGGCAGTCAACCTTGGGTCCTCTGGAAGAGCATTTAACCACAGAGCCATTTTTCCAGCCTCTGAAAATTGTATTTTTATAGTTTATAATCTCATCACATAATTTTATATTGTTTACTTATATATATATATTTTATAAATTTTATAAGAAAAAAGTTACATACTATCTTTAATACATAGCTGGCTTTACTGATCTCTTTAGTTTCTTAATGTGGATTAAAGTTATTGACTAGTGTGTCCTTTCAGAGTTTCTTATAGAAGACCATTTCAATTTTGTTGACCTGGGAATGACTCTGATAGTTTCATTGGATGTAGAATTCTTCCTTTGATAGTCTTCTCCACATCTTGAATATATTATTCTACTGTCTCTTGGCCTCCTGTATGCTTTTTCCCCTCAAATTTTGTAATTATATATATGTGTGTATGTATATAATATATATACATTATATACATACATATATATTATATACATACACACATATAAGCATTTCATACATGTCAAGTTTATAGTCCAGTGCTGTTTACTACATCTCTAATGGTATATGAACACTATTAACCGTCTGACTCCAAGATACTTCATTTTGTCTGCTGAAGCTCTCCACCCAGTAAATAGTAACTGCTTACTCGCTCCTTCCTCCAGACTCAGAAAACCACTGCTCTGCTTTTTATCTATATACTTTTGACAGATCTGTGACTTAAAAGTACTTGTCTTCTTGTGACTGGTTTATTTCATCTCGGGGTCTTTATCGTCTGTGTTCAATGTTAGGATTTCTATTTTTTTTTTTTTTAAAGATTTATTTATTTATTATGTATACAGTGTTCTGTTTGCATGTATCCCTGCAGGCCAGAAGAGGGAGCCAGATCTCTTTACAGATGGTTGTGAGCCACCATATGGGTGCTGGGAATTGAACTCAGGACCTCTGGAAGAACAGCCAGTGTTCTTAACCTCTGAGCCATCTCTCCAGCCCCAGGATTTCTATTTTTTAAGCTGACTACTCCTATTACATTGTAAATGCACACACACTGGGGTTTTCTTTTAATCTGTCCACTTGTTGATGGTTACAGGTTGCTTCTATGTTTCAACTATTGCATATATATTCTTCTGTGAAGTTGAGTGTAAATATCTCTTAGAGTCTTTGAGTAGCACGAATCTTAAAAGGTCTTATTAATAAAAACAAAACCCAGTGGCAGATATTGGGGTAAATTCTGAAAGATCAGAGAAGCAGAACAAGCCACAGCTAACCTCACCTTGCCAACTTCTCAGCCGACCTTGTTTCCTTAAACTGGAAGCCTCTGAGTCCTCACCTGAATGGATCTCAGCTGAATTGCTGCTAAAAGCCTCAAAGCTTAAAAGCCTAAATAGTTCCTGTTCCTCACCCTTATGTACCTTTCTCCTTCCTGCCATCACTTCTTGGAATTAAAGGTGTGTGTCCATGGACATTACACCAAGCTTCTCATTTTACTGATCAAATGTGAATAATACAATGTCCAGTTTGGGGTGAAATTCTATTTTCCTCGTAGCTGGGAAGGTGGAATGTGTACACATGTGGGTGGGTATGGGTACATGTGTGGAGGTTGAGTGTCAACCTCAGATGTCGTTCCTCATGAGCTGTCAACCTTGATTCTTGTTTTTTGAGACCGGGTCTCATTGGCCTGGAGGAAAGTGGGTTAGGCTGGTTGGCCAGTGAACCCTAAGAATTCACCTGTCTGCCTCCCAAGAGCAGGGATTACAGACTTACCCTGCTGTACCTAACCTTTCAAGTGGATTCTGGGGATCTAATTCAAGGTCCGCATGCGTGTGTGGTGGGCACTTCCCTGGCCGAGCCATCAGAAAGGGCTCTCTCATGCATGTGTGGCCAGGCGGGAACGGCCTGCCTGCTTTGCCTCCTGAAGCTCCTCTCGGCCTCAGCCTTTACCAACGTGTAACCAAACAGGAATTCTGCTGCCAGCATCCATCTGTGCTGTGTTGATGGGACATCAGAAGACAGTTGAAGCCGGGCATTGTGGCACACGCCTTTAATCCCAGCACTCGGGAGGCAGAGGCAGGTGGATTTCTGTGAGTTCGAGGCCAGCCTGGCCTACAAAGCTAGCTCTAGGACAGCCAGGACTGTTACACAGAGAAATTTTGTCTTGGGGAAAAAGAAAGGAAGGAAGGAAGAAAGAAGAGAGAGAGAGAGAGAGAGAGAGAGAGAGAGAGAGAGAGAGAGAGAGAGAGAAGAAAGAAAGAAAGAAAGAAAGAAAGAAAGAAAGAAAGAAAGAAAGAAAGAAAGAAAGAAAAAAGAAAGAAAAAGAAAAAGAAAGGTAGGTGTGTGTCACCATGCCTGACTGTTTCCAGTGTAGCTTTGAACTCAGAGATCCATCCCATGATAGGATTAAAGGTGTGTGTGCCACCATTTTCTGGCCTCTGTGTCTGTCTAGTGGCTGTTATGTTCTCTGACCCCAGATAAGTTTATTAGGGTGCACAGTATATTGGGGAATGCAATATCACCACATCTTTGCTTCCTATTCTTTTGAGTATATACCAGTAGTGGAATTGCTGGATCACATGGTAATTCTCTTTTTAATGTTTTGAGAAATTCCACTCTGTTTTCCACAGTGTGACTCCACCATTTTATATCCTTCCAAACAGTGTGCCAAGGCTGTAGTTATCCCATGTCCTTGTTCATTCATTCATTCATTCCTCAATAGTATCTACACTGATTGTTGTGAAGTATATCTCATGTGCTTTTGGTTTAATAGTAGTGTGGAGTTTATTTTCGTGTGCTTTTTAATGATTTGTGTATTTACTTTAGAGCAGTCTATGTAAATCGTTTGCCAATTGTTTTCAGGATTTTTGTTGTTTTGAGATTTTGTAGCTCTGGCTGTCTGGATCTCAAAATGTCAGCCAAACTGGCCTCAACCTTACTGAGATGCACTGCTTCTGGAGTGCTGAGTCAAAGGTGTGCACCACCATCCTGGGCCTTTTGACAATTTTTGTTACTTTGTTTTTTTGAGACAGTCTCACTATGTATTGGAATGGGACTCAGAGACCTGCCTGCCCTCTGTCTTCTAGGTGCTGGGGTTAAAATTATGTGCCATCATACCTCGTCCCCTTTGCTAGATTTTTTTTTTTTTTTTTTGGTTTTTTTCGAGACAGGGTTTCTCTGTGTAGCTTTGCGCCTTTCCTGGATCTTGCGCTGTAGCCCAGGCTGGCCTCGAACTCACAGAGATCCACCTGGCTCTGCCTCCCGAGTGCTGGGATTAAAGGCGTGCGCCACCACCGCCCAGCTAGATTTTTAATTGAATTTTGTTGAGTTTTAGGAGTTTTATATGTGGTCTGGATATCTTTCCCTTATCAATTAAAAAAAGGATTTACAAGCCAGGCAGTGGTGGTACATGCCTTTAATCTCAGCACTTGGGAGGTAAAGGCAGTTGGATTTCTGAGTTCGAAGCCAACCTTGTCTACAGAGTGAGTCCCAGGTCTACACAGAGAAGCCCTATATCAAAAAACAAAAAACAAACAAACACAAAAATAGGATTTACAAATGCTTTCTTCTGTTCTGTGAGTTGCCTTTTTACTCCATTGTATTGCCCTTTGATGTACAAAGTTTTTAATTTTTAAAAAGAACATTTTGTCCATTTTTTTTTGTTTGTTTTTATTGTTGTTTATACTTTTGGTGTCATTTCCTAAAAGTCATTACTGCTGGTGATGGTGGCGCATGTCTTTAATACCAGCACTAGGGAGGCAGAGGCAGGAGGATATCTGAATACCAAGCCAGCTAGGTCTACAAAGCGAGTTCTAAAAGAGCAAGGGCTACACAGAGAAACCCTGTCTCGAAAAACCAAACAAGAAAAAAAGTCATTACTAATGTCTTGAAACTTTTGCCTTCGATTCTTTTGAGTGCCCACCACCACCACCACCAAAAGACAGGGTTTCTCTGTGTAGCCCTGGCAATCTTGGAACTCATTCTGTAGATCAGGCTGGCCTTGAACTCAGAGATTCACCTGCCTCTGCCTCTGGAGTACTGGGATTAAAGGTGTGCACTACCACTGCCTGACTTCTTTTGAGTTTTATATAGTTTGAGGTGTAACATTTGACATTTGGGATTAATGTTTGTGTATACTATTAGGAAAAGGTCCTTATTTAAAAAAATGAGACTGGAGAGACAACTCAACAGCTAAGAGCACTGGCTGCTTTTCCAGAGGATCCCCCCGAGTTCAATTCTCAGCACCCACATAGCATCTCATAGCTGTCTGTAACTCTAGTTCCAGGATACCCAACACCCTCATGAGCACAAAACACCAATGCACATTTTTTAAAAAAGGAAAACAAACAAACAAACAAACAGGTTCAGCTTCATTTTGCATGTAAATAAAAGACTGCTCTTTTCCTATTTAATGATCTTGGCACCCTTGTCAGAAATCACTTAAGAGTATATGTAAGGTCTTATTTCTGGGCTTTTTGATCTGTCCCATAACTTGTTGTCTTTATGCTAGTACTGCATTGTTTTGGTTAGTATGGTTTTGTAATAAGCCTGAAATCTGAAAGTATGAATCTTACAGCTTTGTTTATTTTCAAAATTGTTTTAGCTGATTGAATTCCCTTATAATTCAATGTGAATTCTTTTTTCTTTAGAAACTATCTTTTCATTTTGTGTGTGTGTGTGTGTGTGTGTGTGTGTGTGTGGTGTGTGTGTGTGTGTGTATGCCTAGAGTGTTCAGATGCCTCTGGACCAGAAGAAGGCATTGGGTCCCCTGGAGCTGAAGATACAGGCAATTGTTAGAACCTGACATGAGTGCTGGGGATAGAACTCAGGTCTTTTGCAAGAACAGCAAGTGCTCTCAACTACACACACACACACACACACACACACACACACACACACACACACACACATTTGAGTTCTCAGATACCTCTGCTCCTACTGTGGATTTTAATTTTGTATGCATTTGGGAAGCTATACCTACTGAGTACCTGTTACGTTACAAGCACCTTAATGAGCAAATAAGCAAATATTGACTGCTGGCCAGGATGTGGTTTCCCAAGTTTATAGATGATAAAACTGGCCAAAGGAAGTTAAAATATTCATTATAAATACAATCCTGACACTAACTACCCACAGTATTTATAGACTCCATATATTAAGGGCACAGTCCCCAACAAGATTTTCCTTGCTTCTTATATAAGCCACAAATTTTGGGGTGCTAAGCTTCCTGTACTTTGAATCAACAAGCTATAAATTCAAGGGATACCCAAGTTCCCTCGGGTTTGAAAATTGAAAAAAAAAAATTCTAGATTTTTTTTTATCTTATTTTATGTATGTGTGCTGTGTGTGCCTGGTGCCCTCAGAGATCAGGAGAAAATGTCAGACAAATCCTCTAGAATTAGAGTTATGGATGGTTGTAAGTCACTGTGGCTTTTGGGAACCAAACTGGGTCCTCTGCAAGGGCAAAAAGTGCCCTTAACCACTGAAACATCTCTCCAGCTTCATTAGTTTTGAAAACTTACTGGAATGACTTGTAGAACTCGGGAAAGTGGTGTGTATACAGTGTTGTCATTCAGTGTACAAATCAAGGCTAGTTGAATGAAGAGATTTTGAAGCAGAAGCAAGGAGGGTTCTGCATACAGCACTTCCATGACCGCCCCCAAAGGAATCAGGACATGTTATTCTTCAATTTTGGACTCCAGAGGTTTTATTGAGGTTTCATTATGTGAGCTTAATTAATTGAATCCTATCAGATTTAATTCAATATCTGTCTTCTCTTCTTGAAGGTTAGTAGGTATGATGATAATAGGTGATTCAAAGCCCAAACTCAGCAACCACACGGTTGATCTTTCTAGCCTGTCTTGCTCTCATCCTGAATTATTTCATTAACATTAACTGTCAGTGACCCTCTGAGTTACCCCAGCAGCATAAAGTATTAAACCCACCTAAGAGAATTTCTCTTGAGAAGTTACAGCAGTCAAAAGAGTCTCTTCAGTAACCATAGCAACCCCAGACAAATTATTATGAAGCATAGGATCGCACATCTAGTGAGTGACGGCCCGGACTGAGCCCAGTTCTGGGTTTGAAGCTGTCCTCTCTGTATTCTCTGCTCTTGGTATTAAGACCCATAAATAAGTAGTTTGCTAAGGTCACCCAGCTGATTACTAATCTTGACTGCCAATACATGTTCCTTTCACAATGCAGTGGGTTTTTTGTTTTTTTTTTTTTTTTCATGATGGGGCACATTTGTCTTGTTTCTGTAAATTTTGAAATTGGTATTATAAAATACAACTCCCTAGCTAAGATTCATCAGTTGTCGTTATCTGATATCACCTAATCGTATTTTATTCCGTAAATTTATTCAAGTAAATAAAAGTAAACCAATACAACAGTTAAGAAAGTTATGCTTTTATTTTTTTTTCCATTTGCTATTTTCTTTTTAAAGCAAGAAATGTTAAAAGGAAATCAATTTTATTTCTAGTGTGCATGATGCTGTTTTTCTGATACTTGGCTATACACTTTTGCTTCTAGGTACCATCCATTGCATTTTCCATGCAACTGGGCACCATTACACTTGGAAAAAAGTGACCACAACAGTACACAACATTATTGTGGGCAAGTTGTGGATAGATCAGGTAAGCAAAAGTACCCAAAGTGCCTCAGAACTTCAGAGCACCTCTTTAGGTAATCTTTGTAGTATTTAGGACCCAGTAACTGGTCCCAGACTGTTTTTACTGGATCTCCTAAGGATTTTCTCTCAGGCAGTAGTCCTACCTCCATAAAATTCTATCTATAAATTATTATTTATGAATGACCAAATTATAAGTTCCATCAATGACTACTAAGACTCTGTTGGGCAATATAAAGGGATATAAGACGTAGTCACATAGCCCCAGCTCTTAATGCTTTTGTTATTCATGAAATGTTTATTGCCAAGCAGTGTCCTAGGTACTAGTGTTACAAAGTCAGAGAAGGCCCTCCAAGGATTATTGTGTCATTGAAGAAATAGGACATGTAGATTGAAAAGTATGAAATTGCCTAGTACAGGAGATATGCTAAGAGACTATCTAGTTAAGTGTTAACTTTGGGGTAAGACTGGTTTAACTATGGCCAGAAAAGAGTTAATACTGTCTTCTTAAGAAGGGCTTCATGGTACATGTAGAGTTAGACTGAATCTTTGAAAGGTAGAAAGGAGAGAAAAATAAAAAAAATGAAGTCTATAGGAAGACCTGTAGAACTTTGAAACTGTAATTTGTGTTAAGCAAAGGAATTCTAGAAGGCTCCTACTGAGGGGCTTGTTCAGAAGGGTAGATTATTACATGTGTACTGAAGGTCAAGTTATGTCACCAACATGTGACGCACATTAAAAAAACAGTTTGACCTTAATTCCAACCTGAAATACAATGATTACAGAAGGGTTCCACAGTGCCCAGGTCTGGCTAGGACTTGTTCTTTAAACAAGGGAGCACTCACATGTAAAATTTATGTGAGTCTTCATAAAACTAACTCATGATTCTTTTCACTTTATAGTCTGGTGAGATTGACATCGTAAATCACAAGACAGGAGACAAGTGTAATCTTAAATTTGTTCCTTATAGCTACTTCTCTCGGGATATAGCAAGAAAGGTAAGAGAGGTTGAAATGTAAATATTTTTCATTTAATGTATATCCCTTAGAAGGGCTGGTGTGTGTGCATGTATAGAGAGGTAGGTAGGTAGAAAGACGTGTATCCTAAATATGGAGGTCGGAAAAGTAGGCGTTAAAAAAGATGTAAAGAAGAAAACCAGGAAAGGGACCAAATGTACTGCTGAACCACTTTCTTCTCCTGAACAATGATGATGAAATGAAAGACAAATTCAGGGGCTGGAGAGAGAGATGCTAGTGGTTAAGAGCACTTACAGTTTTTCCAGAGGACCTGAGTTGAATTCCCAGCACCCATATCAAGTAGTTCACAAATGCTTGCAAACAGCACCAGGGGATCTGACACCTTTGGATCTCCAAATGCACCTGTATACATGTGGCTTACACACACACACACACACACACACACACACACACACACACACACATACACCCCTAAATAAAAATAAATACATTTATTTTAAAAATAAAGACAAGCAAAAACAGACAGCACAGTCATAGAGTGTGGGAACATGGAGGACAGGAAAAAAGGTACAGACAATAGAACCACTGTGACATGCAAAGGAGAGATGTCTGAAAAAAGGTGCAGACAATAGAACCACTGTGACATGCAAAGGAGAGATGTCTGAAAAAAGGTGCAGACAATAGTACCACTGTGACATGCAAAGGAGAGATGTCTGAAAAAAGGTGCAGACAATAGTACCACTGTGACATGCAAAGGAGAGATGTCTGTTACTACCACAGGGGGATCATGCCACAGGTTCAGATTTTCATGTAAGAATGAAGACTAGCTAGGATGGTGGTGCACGCCTTTAATCCCAGCACTTGGGAGGCAGAGGCAGGCGGATCTCTAACTTTGAGGCAGCCTGGTCTACATAGTGAGTTTCAGGATAGCCAGGGTTACACAAAGAAACTGTTTGGAAAATTGGGGGGGAAAAATGAAGACTAGTTGGGAATTCAAATGTGTTTGTGGATCTGTGTAATTTCTAGAGCAGTTTTAAGTGTCAGTCAGGTACTTTTCTTTCTTACATCCTTGCATCAGAAATTCCTGTTCAATAAGAAGCTTTGCTCATAAAGCTATCAATTCATGGCTATGTTTCAAGTAGTATTTAAAAATCAGTAAAAATTTGGCTAACTCCATAATGTTTAACTGGATTTAGCCAGGACTTAACCTAGGACTTTTTCTAAGTTAGACCACCCCACAGTGGTCGCTCTGCTCCAAGGCTGTGCTCTCCATCCTTATAGGTGACAGGGGAAGTGACAGACCCATCAGGAAAAGTTCACTTTGCCCTCTTGGGGACATGGGATGAGAAAATGGATTGTTTCAAAGTTCAACCAGCCTCTGGGGAAAATGGGGGTGATGCTCGGCAGAGAGGCCATGAAGCAGAAGAAAGTAGGGTCATGCTATGGAAGAGGAATCCTTTACCGTGAGTATCACATGCAAGCCTCCTGGGGGCTTTGCCCTTAACTCTGGGGCAGTATGAAGGTGTCCTGCCTGCTTTCTTTGTGGTTATCTGTGGGACTGTCCAGGGAGAGGAAAACCTGTGTGGAGATTACCAGAAATTGTACACGTGATTGGAGTTGAAGCATGCTTTGTTCCAAGACACTACCTCACCAAACATATTGTAGTTCTCCTTTCTGAAGTCCACTGAATCATGACTCAAGAGAATCTCTTTGTAATTTATAATAAGTGTTCTGTTTTTAAGATAGGGTCTCATGTAGTCCAGGCTGGTCTCACTGTACAGCTCAGGCTCTCTTTGAAGTCTTGATCTGATCCTTCTACTTGTACCTCCCAAGCTGGGTTACAGGCATTCACCACCATTTCCTGCATACTCATTGCAATTCAAAGCAGAACTTTTCAAAAGCAGCCAGAAAGGAAGGTGCTTTCTACCTGCTAACAGTTTCCCTACAGACCCCTGAGATGACAAGTGCAGGCCGTTGGTCTCCTGTCATCACCTTATGTATTATGTCTACAGAAATAGCCAGATCACTCCAGAAAGAGGTCTAAATCTAAAGGAAGCAAAGGAAATAGGAAGGAAGCAATTTTGAAGATTTCATTCTTCCTTGTAAGTGTAGATAATTCTGAGTGGAGATGCTGCAATAGCTATTAGATGAAGTGATACTGGGGAAGGGTGGGAGTGGTACAGTTTGGCTCTCTTATTTGGGATTACCTGGAGTTGGCTTTGGAGTTTTTCCACTTGTGGGACACTTAGATGTAGGGCAGTGTTCCAAGCTGTTGCTCCTTGGGTTGGATCGAGGCTGTAGAGCTGCCTTTCCTTTGTCTTGTTTGTTCTTAGGAAGAATGCAGAAAACATGTACTACTTCTCAGAGCTCGCCCTCACTCTCAATGCCTGGGAAGGTGGCACTGCACCCACAGACAGCCGGCTTCGGCCTGACCAGAGACTGATGGAAAATGGGCGCTGGGATGAAGCAAATGCTGAGAAGCAGCGCCTAGAGGAGAAACAGAGACTTTCCAGGAAAAAGAGAGAAGCAGAAGCTATGAAAGCCACGGAAGATGGTAACAAACCTGTCCACTGTTCTCATTTCTTGGTGCATGGCGAGTGCCAGCTCTAATTTTGCTTTTCATTGCTTCCTTTTTAGGCACACCATATGACCCCTATAAGGCACTGTGGTTTGAGCGGAAGAAGGACCCTGTCACCAAGGAGCTAACCCATGTTTATAGGGGTGAATATTGGGAATGTAAGGAAAAGCAGGACTGGGGCTCTTGCCCAGACATTTTCTGAAGTGGTTGTAACTCAAAGGAAGAGGTTTGATCGGAGAAGACGGCAGAGGATGTGCGAGAAGGCTGGCAGTTGGGACTCTTACCAAGTGCTTTCCTCAAATTTGTCTGTCTTAACCAATCACTTTTTCCAAATCAATCACCAGAAGCAGACACCCGTGGTGGTGATTGGCTGGTTGCCTTAGCTGATTGACGCTGAAATCGACGTAGTAGCTACCCATGTTTGTAAGGGAGCGGTTTAGTGGCTGAAAGTTAGTGTTATTCTACATCTGCAAAGGCAAGTAAGTGTTTGTGGTCTTCTCCCTCTGCCCCCATATAAGATGATGTCATTCACCCTCCCCTTGTAGTGTCCTGCTCAGCCAAGACCTGCATAAGATTGTGATTCATGAGCATTTTGGTGCTGTTCAGAGCAAGAACTGATCTTAAAGTTCCTTTAAAAAGAAACACATAAGACTTAACCAGCAGAGGCATCATGCACAGGTCTCATGTTAGGAAATATGCTCACATGTGGAGTTGGTTTAACAAGGCGTCGTATGTAGATAACTAAGGTTTTGGAGCATCTACAGGAGAGATTGTTCTCTAGGGCTGGAATATTGAGTTACATTCTTGGAGATTTTTCCTTCACTTGCATACAACACCCCTCTGCTGTTTTCTGTCTCCTTTGACAGCAACCAGAGGCCTCTTTGGCAGTTGATAAGAGGGCCACACTATCTTTATAAAGGGGTTTTATGGTCTTCCTCAGGTGGAGAACCTCTGAGAACACAGGCAGGGTGGAAGAAGACTACTAGCCACTTGTACCTTCCCAGTCCCTCCTCATCCCGTCTTCATTGCCTTTCTGGCTTCTTTGCTGGCACAGTACCAATTTGGGTATGTGCCACAGTCTGGAGCAAAACATTGCCTGACCCATTCTGTACACTTCAGAATCTGAGAGAAGTTTCTCTGCAACAAACGTTTTCATCATCTTGAAAGTCCCATGGAATGGAGCCACCTCTGGAATAATGTGTTAAATCATCTGTATATTATATATATATATATATATATATGTAGAGAAAAATCTAATTTTTTTTGTTTTCCTCTTTCCCATGAAGAATCTTGGTTTTTTTTTTATATCACCTGTCTCCCTGGGACTCTCGGACGCATGCTAATATGGGTTGATGCTCCTCTGCTTTCCATCTTTGAGGGGCATTGCAACCCTAAGCAGGGTCATGTGTGGCAGTTACTGGACAGGGACAAGGAGGAGTGTTTGTCACAGTGACTCACTGCTGCCTCAGCTCTGCTTTCCTGATCACCTGGCTCTTGGAAAGGAAGTCCTAGTCTTTTTCCCCCGCCTCAGTTTCCTTCCTCAGGAGTACGGGTAGAAAGTCAGGAGGGTGGTTTCTAGCTTCCTTCTGTTCCAGCCAGCTCAGGCTAAATCCCAAAAGAGTTTGCTTCCAAGGATGTGAGCTAAGAGCCCTCATGCTCTGTGGGAACTGCTCCTGCTGGGCCCTGGCTTCCTTCTTTCATTTTTCTCTGTATTAATTTTAGTTTCCTGTTCAGAAACATAACCCTTGTGCAACCCACCCTTGGTTGAGGGTCATAAATTGAGGTGCCTTCCTTATGTACTTTTTGTTAGTGTTTTTGTTTTTGTTCCTTAACTATTGAGCCTCAGCCAGTGTGGGTCCTTGGGGAAAAATACCATTCCAGAGGAAGCTATCCCTCCAGGGAAATTGGATCTTACTGGGTAAATTAGTACTTTTAGTCATCCTCCCACCCCCCACCGGCTCTCCCTCCCCAGATCAAACACATCAAAGATTGATCACTGGGGAATTTCCTCCTAAGAAGGCTTTCCCCAGCACAAGGGTTACTCCGGGGAGACCCATAAAATGGGCACCATCTCTGGAGACTGGGATAGAATGGAAATTTCCCAAGGAACCTCGTTGCTTTAGCCCCTTTCCCCATATATCTGCACTACATTTCTAGCTTGATTCCCAGATCCCTGCTAACGGAAGAAGCCTAGAAGTCCTGAAGATGGAATAAAGTCACATGAAAGTAAAACAAGACTATATATATTTTCAGTTTTTTTGCCTTATTGCTTTTTTTCAAAAAAAAAAACCTACTAAATTAAATAATTTTTAAAAAGCTATATTGTCTGATTTGCTTCTACCCCTACTAGGCAGGAAATAGTGGTGAACAGAGGGAGACCTGGCCGATGGTGATTTGTTCTGTTTGGGAATTTTATTGTATGTGTATGAGTGTTTTGCCTACGTGTATGTATGTGTGCTATGTGCATGCCTGTTGGCCACAAAGACCAGAAGAATGTGTGGAAAGGTTGTGAACGACCATGTAGGGTCTGGGAACCAAACTGAGGGCTTCTTACAAGAGCAGTAAGTGCTCGTAACAGCTGAGCCATGTATCAAGCTCCTTGATTTCAGTTCTTCAACATCAGTCCAGACTCATGAGCAGAAGAATAGCCTTAACACCTTGCAATCTGACATTTGTCACTGTCTTAACATAGAGAAACCATAACTAGTATTTCTGATTCTGGGTCTGCTCCCTCAGAAATGTAGGGATGGAGGATATAGCTTAGGGGTTAGAGGGCTTACTTAGCATATCTCTGCCTGGCCTGGATTTAAGACCCAGCCCTGGGAGGGGGGGGGGGGACACTAGTAAAAGTTGAAGTCTCAAAATTCTTAGCTTTTTGATGTATGGGTTCAAATCCAGCCTTTGGAACCATAAGCAGTTGTACTTGGAAGACCTTCAAAATGAAGGGGAACACCTGTCTTTCAGCACTCAGGAAGCTGGGACAAATTTCCTGAGCCCATCTCAAACAAATAAATCTCAAATAAATAAAAGGCCAGGAGTAGTGGTGCAGGCCATCACAGGAGAAGCACGAAGATTACAAGCTCCAGACAAACCCGAGACACATAGGTCCTGCTTTAAAAGCAAAAAGACCTTTTACAAGCAATGACAACAATTTACTTTTTCCTCTGCAAAGTCCAGGCTCTGGAAGAGGATGGGCATAGTAGGGTATGGGCCTAGAAAGTAGTCCTGTCAAATTATGCAGCAAAGGATCCTGCCCATGAGCCCTGAGTCTAGAGTACAGAGGGCCGAGAGGAACTCATTCTCTAGGTCATATAACTTTTTTAAGAGTAAACTGTTAGGCTCTTAGAAAAACTAAATTTGTTCAGGCACACATGGCTGATTGGTTAGTCAGGGTTGGAATTCAAAGCTGGGTGTGGTTAACCTGGGTTTTTGACCTCTATTAGCTACCCTTTGCCTAGGGAGTAACTGGCTTGGAAGTGGTGTTGTGACCTTTTCTGGCTGTGTGATATACTGCCACTGAAGTGCTTGGCTGTCTGCACAGGCTCATAAGGCTGGTGCCATTTCTTTCAAGGCTCCTCTCCAAGGAACATCCTAGAAATTCAGCCTCTAGGACTCTGGATTTTTCAGATTCATGTCAACAAAATTGCTGTGTTGTCAGCAATTGTTTTTGTACCAGATTCTTGGAGAAACCACTTATCTCTTCAATTTGATTGATTACTATTACAAGATTGAATGTTAAATTGCTGTAAAGTTTTGTGATCTTGTTTTCTGGCCAGATGAAAACCACAGCAGTAGGTATGAGGCATAGCAGCCCTGTGCTGAGATCTTGAGCACCTTTACATAATTTAATTACTACATTAGGGGAAATCAAACAGCCACAGTATGTAATGATCCCTCTTTGGTCTAATAATGTGACATGATGAGTTGGGATGTGGAGCCTGAGGGTCATAGTCCAACATGATTCAACATTATGACTCAGCAAAATTTCAAACCATTGCATTCACAGACCTTTAAAGTCCCACAAATTTAAGGGAATACAGGCTTTCATCACAGGTGACTCACCATGCTGTTTTTTGTTTTTGTTTTTTTTACATTTTATATAATCTTTATTGACAAATAATTCCCATAGTATACAATTTGCCTGTTTGCACAATTTGATAGACTTTTGTCCAGCATCCTCATAGGCCCATGACACCATCACCACTTTCTATTTTAGAACGTTGCTGTCTTTAATTTCATACACACATATGATGTATGGTGGTTACATTCCACCTTATTTTTTTTTAACGAACATAATATTTGCAATTGTAACCATTTTTAAGTTCACAATTCAGTTCACCATGCTGTTTTAGGCAAGTAAGAAAGACTGGTGTTTATCATTATGTTTGCCTTCCCAGCCTTCATTTCTACACAGTTAAAAAGCAGCAGAGGAGATAGCCATCCTGTGGGAAGAGATGACATCGAAGAGGAAGACAACCACTGTTCCCCACCCCACAAAGAGTTAGGACTCCAAGCTGTGCAGCTGTCAAGTAGTGATAATGAAAGGAACAGAGAGCAGCTTACACCAGAGCACTGCTGAACTTTACTCCGATATCCCGGGGTTCTCCCACAAGGACTGTGCCAAGGTCGAGGTCCATCCACATTAACCAGATCTGGAAGGAGGCTCATTTCTACAGCCTGTAGCAGAGAGGATAGTCTTGACATGATAACCTAGGCACTTCTCCCTTGTTTATAAAAAGTCATTGCATTCACACATACATACACTCATACAAGTCCCACAAACTTGTTCAACCCATACACTTCAAGGATTTGCTCTACAGGTCAGTAAAATAAAGCCTCAAAAAGTGGCATAGAAAAATCTTGAGATTTTGCTCATTAAAGATGAACAAAACAAAATTTATGAAACAAATTCAGAACCTCCAGGTGTGGTGGTACACACCTGTGAATCCTAGCCCTTGGGACATGGAGGTAGGAGGATAGTTCAGGTTCATTCTTAACAACATAATGAGTTTGAGGCCAGCTTGGGTCTCATGAGACCCAGTCAAATAAATAATAAAGCACACCACTTTTGTCCACACTCTTCCTTACCCACTGGAAGCATTTGGAGCCTTGTGTGGTTTCTGGAGTGCCTATGGTAACTGTAGCCCCACTCCCCTTTCAAACTGCTGCTGTTCTGGTCTATTGTTCCTTCAGTAAAGGAGCTGAATGTGTTATGCCCAGATCACGGGGACCCCCACAAGACCACCACGGAGACTAAATCCTGTATGTAAAAGCAAGGAGCCTTTACTTTCAAGCTCCAGAGCTTGATCTCTCTGTCTGTCCCATGTAGTGGTGAGAGCAGAAAGCCCAGAGCCCAAGCAGAGTGGGGTTTTGCTCATAGCAGAGGTTGGGGTGAGGGGATTTCTCTGTTTCAGGACCCTGATTGGCTGACATTTGTCTAGGGGTATAGGGAATATTTAGAATGTCAGGTATTTACCCTTAGATGCAGGCCCTCCCTGTGTGGGGTCAGCTAATGGCTTTTCCTGGGTCCAGGTGTTGCCTGCCAGAAGCTGTGTCTGGGCCTCTAAGCCTATCATGGCAGCTGTGTGGTCAAGCTGTTTTGGGGCCCCCCACAAGTGGCCAAATGAGGGATCTTTAAAGGGGATAACCTGAAGAGCTCAAGGGCTGTGGGTGAAGTTCTAGAGTGCCACTGAGTATGTGCAAGGCCTGGGGTTTGATCCCAGCACCATGATAAATTACTCAGACTTTTTTTTTCAGAGCTGAGGGTCAAACCCAGGGCCTTGCGCTTGCTAGGCAAGCGCTCTACCACTGAGCTAAATCCCCAACCCCAGACTCTTTCATAAATAACCTGTAGAGGTCATGGCCTCTGAACTTCAGCAGGTGATTTTAGAGGTTACTAAAAACAAGCTCATTTTAGGTTATAGTTAGGAATGTTTTCAGCCATCCATCCATCCATTCATTCATTCATTCACTCACTCACCCTCATTCTCTGCATTTCCCGCAGCCTGTTAGCTAACCGACTGGGGACACAAATAGCAAAAAACGAGATTAGGTAAACAGCCAATTGCAGTCAAGTTTGGCCAGTGGTGTGAGGCACTGTAGCCTGTAGGGAGTTGGGAGAAAGTGGGTAGAGGTATGTCAGAGAAGGCATCTGGAACTAGAAGAACTTGAGCTGTGAGTTGCAAGTTAAGTAGGCATTAGAGAAAGGGTTATGTAAATGTGTTGCATAGACCAAGAGGAAGAACAAGGTCCAAACAAGCATGCTGGCATTGACTCCAGGCATTGTTAGTTTAAGATCAAGAATTCACTAGCCTTGGGGGCTCTTTGCTCAACTCACTAGCCCACTTCCATTCCTGGGAGTGTTTTTTCCTTTCCTAATAAGCTATCTCTATTTCTATACCGTGACCATGTCTAGTTTTTTTTTTTTTTTTTTCTTCTTCTTCTTCTTCTTCTTCTTCTTCTTCTTCTTCTTCTTCTTCTTCTTCTTCTTCTTCTTCTTCTTCTTCTTCTTCTTCTTTCTTCTTCCTCTTCCTCTTCCTCTTCTTCCTCTTCCTCTTCTTCCTCTTCCTCCTCCTCCTCTTCCTCCTCCTCCTCCTCCTCCTCCTCCTCCTCCTCCTCCTCCTCCTCCTCCTTCTTCTTCTTTTCCGAGACAAGGTTTCTCTGTATAACAGCCCTGGCTATCCTGGAACTCAACTCTGTAGACCAGACCAGGCTGGCTTTGAACTCATAGAGATCTGCCTGCCTCTGCCTCCCGAGTGCTGGAATTAAAGGCTTGCTCCACCAACTCCCAGCTGTTTGTTTTTGAGACAGGGTCTCCCTGTGTAGCCCTGACTATCCTGGAGCTCTCTATGTAGACCAGATGGCCTCAAACTCATAGAGATGATTTTGCCTCTGCCTCCCGAGTGCTGGGAGCCTTGTGGCAGCTGCTAGTGTTTTCAACTAACCTGTACTGTTTTTCTCTTAAACTCTAGTAAAATTGTCAAGCTTGAGAGAAAGAGAGAGAGAGAGAGAGAGAGAGAGAGAGAGAGAGAGAGAGAGAGAGAACACTAAGAAGGATGCTGGAGAAGGGTATGCCCTCCCTCCCCCAAAATGCTTCATGTGCTGTTAGAAGAAGCCTTGGCTTTTGTTTTTAACTAGTGAAAAGCAGGATACTGAATTTCAGGTAGAAAACAATTTATGAACAAGACCAGTTAAGAGGCGGGAGAGGAGAGATGGGCAGCAGAGGAATCCCCAGTGGGATGCACAGCATGTGGTATGATGACTAGAAGGCAGAGGGGGGAAGGTTTGCAATTCTCTGACCTGGGAAACTTAGATGGGAAATCAGGTGTCCTGGCTAGTTTTATGTCAACTTGACACAAACTAGAGCCACTTAAAGGAGGGAACCTCAGTTGAGAAAATGCCTCCATCAGATCCAGCTGTAAGGCATTTTTCTTAATTAGTGATTGATGGGGAGGACCCAACCCAGGGTGGGTTGTTCCATCCCTAGGCTGGTGATCCTGGGCTTATAAGAAAGCAAGCTAAGCAAGCCATGAGGAGCAAGCCAGTAAGCAGCACTCCTCCATGGCCTCTGCATCAACTCTTGCCTCCAGGTTCCTGCCCTGTTTGAGTTCCTGTCCAACTTCCTTCAACAGCGGTGTTGGAATTCCTGGCCACTCCCCCCAGCTACATGACCACGCATATGAGGGCAAAAAAAATGATTAGTCATTCCGGGGCTTTACGTCCTATGTAATCCATGTGCTGCATGATCACATAATTTGGGGGCAGCGTGATCGTGATCACGCAATCTATGGCCATGCTTGACATAGATAGCTCCGTAAGTCCATATGTGCATGTGCAGGGGAATCCATAAAAAGTGGGTCACAGACTCCTCCCTTCTTCTCCCCCCACTCTCTCCTTGCACATGTCTTCTGTCTCTCCTTCCCCTAATAAACCTTTATAGTGGGTTTTGTCTACTTCTTGGCTTTTCTCACATGGTAACAGCGCCACAGCGCCGCTTAATGAATAACACAGCACCACCACATAAAAACCAACAGATGAACTACAATGTTGAAGTGTAAGCCAAATAAACCCTTTCCTCCCTAACTTGCTTTTGGTCATGATGCCTCATCACAGTAATAGAAACACTAACTGCGGCAAGTGATATGATTTTCAAGATTGGAGAAATAAATGGCTCAGTGGTTAAGAGTGTGTATTGCTCTTGCAGAGGACCAAAATTCTATTCCTAGCTCATCGCTGCCTAGACTCTAGCTCAGTGGATCTGATGCTCTCTGATCTCTAGAGGACCAGCCCTAGCATGAACACATCCACACACAGCTACAAGCATGTATACATAACTAAAATAAAATAATTTGGGACATTGTAACTCACACTCTTCATCTTAGCACTAGGAAGACAAAGATAGGATCAGAAGTTCAAGGTCATCCTTGGCTACATAGTGAGTTCAAGGCCAGTCTGGTCTATATAGAGTGAGTTCCAGGCCAGCTGGAACTCCAAAATAAAATAAAAAAAGAAGGAAGAGGGGCTGGAGAGATGACTCAGCAGTTAAGAGCACTGGCTGCTCTTCAGGGGACCCAGATTTGGTTCCCAACACCCACATGGCAGCTCTTGGCTGCCTGTAACTCCAGTTCCAGGGAATCTGGCACCCTCACACAAACATACATATAGGCAAAACACCAATGCACATAAAATTAAAAAAAAAAAAGAAGGAAGGCAGGAAGGAAGGACTTTGCAAGAGAAACAATTCATTTTGGGGTATGCTTTGTTGGAGGTACCTGTGGAAATACCAAAAAAGATTTTTTTTTTTTTTGAGGTAAGGTCTACTGTGGCCCAGACTAGCTTCCAATTTTCTACATAGCCCAGACTGCCTTCAAATTCACTATATAGCCAAGAATAACCTTGAACTCCTGATTCTTCCTCCTCTACCTTCCAAATGCTGGGATTATAGGCATGTACCCTGGTGACCTGTTTTGAGAAATAATTTTAAATATGGTTCTTCCATGTAGTCTGAGAACTGAGAATGGGAGACCGAGGGAAACAAAATCACAGATTAATATTTGGCCAATTCAAAAAACAAACAAGCAATATCTATGCCTATTTCTATATCTATATCTGCAGAGATTTGGATTCAACTGAGGAACTGGGGTTAGGCTAGTATATTATATATGTAATAATCGTACTATTATAGTTAGTGCCAGTCTATCTAAAATATCACTATGAAGGAATTGAGTTGCTCTGAATCCCAGACAAGCACTTGGCCAGGGTAGGATTTAAGTCATCTTTTGTCATGTATACACCAAGTCTATAGAGCTGATAATGGCCCTCCATTGCGGCACACCACATGCTTGGTGGCTTAAAGCCAGGCCTGTTTATGAGCTCAATCCTGGAGCTGAGGAGCCACACCACATGGCTGAATTCTTTGTTTAGAAGACATGGTTGAGCTCTTGTCTGGAGGCACTTCAGGGAAGTCTCCTTCCAGACTTCTCCTTGCTGGCAGCCTTCGGTGGTTTCTGGTTGTGGAAAAGAACGGTTTCCGAGCCGATTGCCCCCCCAGAAGCCACTCTCATCCCACGGGCTATCTGCACTCCTTACCTTGGGGTCTCTAGCTTCAAGCCCAGGGAACTTTACACCCTCCTTCTCTGAGTGGCCGAAGGACCCTATGTTGGCCAGACATCCTGTTGCTGTGGCAAATACCAGAAATAGTAAGGTAAAGAAGGGTTTCTTTTGGTCCATAGCTTCAGTTCATGGTTAGCTGGTTCCTTGACTTTGGGCCAGATGCAGGGCAGAACATCACTGCCAAAGGAATAGGATGGAACAAGGTAACCGGGAATTGTATCCGAGTAATGTAAAGATTTGATCCTTAATTACGTCATCAGCCTTCGCCAGCTTCCCAGCCTAAAAAGCTGGTGGGCCCTCTGTGGGCTCTCTGTCCCCTCTCCTTTCCTCTCCTTCTCCCCCATTGGTCCCCCTCTCTCCCTCTCCCCGCCCTGTTTCTCTCTCTCTCTCTCTGTGTCTTTCTCTTTCTCTCCCCCACCCACCCATAAAGCTCTAAAAAGATAACCATGGCTATGATTCTTTTAATCAGCATGCTCCTCTGCCGGCATGGCCCCCCCGGGGGGGGGGGGCGACCAGCCTCGAGGGGCAGCGCCGCGGCATAACTAACACCAGGCCTAAGAAATGCCCCCTTCTCCCCTCCCCCAAGTGACCCACTTCTTCCAACTAGGCACAACTTTCATAATTTACCACCACCTAATTACTTATTTAAATATTGAATCTTTCAATTGCTTACACCAGTGATTAAGTCAAAGCCCCCACGATCTCATCTCTTCTAGAAAACAGCCTCATGGACTCCCTCAGAAGTGTGCTTACTAACCCTGTAGGCATCTTTCAATGGAAGCAAGCTAACCATCACAAAACCCAGTATGACTAATAGATAATGGCATACTTTAGAGTAGTCAGATGTGCTGTGTAGACTAACGTAACCATAAAAGGCAAACCCTATCATATTAACAGTTCAATTGATTATGTAGTTTTCTTTGCTGGTGATGGTGTCTGGAGGGTGGTTAGGTAGGCATTATTTTAGGATTTTTCCTACTACAACTACCTAGAAAAAGCAAAATGGTGATGTTTTAACAAGACTGCTGGGTCTGCAAAAACCTTGACAACATCTAGTTGAGGTATGGCAGCTCCATACCATAAATGTGTTCTTCTCTCAGTCTCTTGAAAACGGCAATCCGCAATCCGGAATCACTCTCTACTTTGTGTTTGTACGTTGTAGCAGGAATCTTAAAAGGTCTTATTAATAAAATCAAACCCGGTGCCAGTTATTGGGGTGAACGCTGGAAGATCAGAGAAGCAGAACAAGCCACAGCCACCTCACCTTGCCAATTCCTCAACTGATTCTCTTTCCTCAGACTGGAAACCTCTGTGTCCTCATCCAGAATGAATCTCAGCTGAACTGCTGCTCAAAAGCCTAAAAGCTTAACCAGCCTAGTTCTTGGTTTTCACGCCTTATATACCTTTCTGCTTTCTGCCCTCACTTCTTGGGAATCAAGGTGTGCGTCACCATGCCTGGCTGTTTCCAATGTGGCCTTGAACTCACAGAGATCCAGAGGGATTTCTGCCTCTGGAATGCTAGGATTAAAGGCGTGAGTGCCACCATTTTCTAGCCTCTGTATCTAGTGGCTGTTCTGTTCTCTGACCCCAGATAAGTTTATTAGGGTGCACACTATATTGGGGAACACAGTACGTAAATCCTAAGCCAAGGTTATCTTTTCATTTCAAGTTACAATGAGCCCATGTTCCCCCTTCTTATGAATCAACTTAGTATGAAACACTGGGTTATTCTCACCAGCCTTATGGTACTTTTAAATTAAATGCATGCAAGAATGTATGGCTGTGAACTGGGAGACAGGTGGGGTAGAAACAGCATATTAGGGATATCATTAATCCATAGCTGACTTCTTAGAGTTTGAAAGGGGCCAGAGCCAAGTCAAGTATCTATAACTCCTACTGAGGTAACATGGAAAGTCTACATCATGTGAAGAGTTTGCAAATGTTGAGGGTGTGTGTGTGTGTGTGTGTGTGTGTGTGTGTGTGTGTGTGTGTGTGTGATTACTGGGAATAAAACTCAGGGTAGCTCACATTCTAGGCCTTGCCATCCTTTTCCAGACATTTTGTAAATATTTCTGACATTCAAATTGATGGCATCTATGAAAACTCAACAAGAGAAATTGTGAATCCTGCCATCAGAGAATAAGATTGTTACCACACTTTAAAGCCAACTTTGAAGCAAGCTTTAATTAAATACTGGCCAGGTGGGTGGGCTCTGGCCAGATCCATACCCAGGTTCCTGGGAAATGGCCCAGAATCATGGTTTGTAGTGGTTTAAGAAGGAAAACCCATAATCCACTGCATTTTCCGCCAGGGGCAAACATACATCCTGATGTACCTCTAGCCTACATCCAATCAGCAGCAAGTGTACATCTGATGTATTTTCTGCCTGTGAAACTCCAGTTCACATGGGATCAAGCACATCAGTGCAGATGGGTCAAACAAACTTGTTTAGGGGAGTGAAAACATGTGGCTTGTTATCTCCCATAAACAACATCCTCCAGCAGGCTAGGCACGGTGGTGCACGCCTTTAATCCCGGGAGGCAGAGCCAGGAGGATCTCTGTGAGTTCGAGGCCAGCCTGGTCTACAGAGCAAGATCCTCCCTCGGAAAAACCAAAACAACAACAACAAAAACAATAGCCTCCAGTCTTCAGGAACGATCTGTTCTTGGACAAGGGGCTTGCAGATCAGAGACATTTTTGTTTCATGGATCTCTTAGGCATATTAATTAAAACTTAAAATGTAACTTTGACGCTCACAAAACAAAACTAAAATAAAATAAAGGTTATATCTTGACCTTATAAAATTTCCTTCCCTCAGGGGCTTGGACCTGCCTAGGCCCAGTGTGCCAGGCTCTGCTGACTCCCCATGGGAGACCTTGATTTGGGGGATGTGGGGATGCGGGATGGCTTGGGAGAGAGGGCTGGGGGGTGGGAGGAGGGAGAAGGGGGGAATCTGTGGGTGGTATGTGGAGTGGGTAGAAAATTTCTTAATAAAGAAAAAAAAATTGCTTCCCTCCAAATATTAGTATATGTGTATATAATCATTGCAGTGCTATTTTACATCATGAAATCTGGGGATGGGTGATCCCTAATTAATTTGTGTTGTACCCCCACAATCAATGCTGTGCATTAATAAAGCATGCAATTGTAACTATCATGAATTACCGTCTCAAAAATTCATGAATTGGTTTGCCTAGCATGCATGAGGCCCTAGGTTCAATCCTCATCACTTTAAAATATTCTTTGAATTTAACTGGAAAAAAAAAGTCATTAAGCAGGCGGATCTCTGAGTTTCAGGCTAGCCTGGTCCAAAGAGTGAGTTCCAGGACAACCAGGCTCCACAGAGAAATCCTGTCTCAAAACAACTACAAGCACAACAACAAATCATTAAGTATTTTTAATGCAGAGAAGCAAATTGCACGACAATTAAAAAAAAAAAATCGCTTGAAATGTAATCGATCCCAGGTAGTAAACAAGGTCCTTGCGCCTTTGTAACATTTGTGAAGACCTAGTCTTTAGCCAAACTTACCTGACGTAGTACCACGAAACAATATTTCCTCATTATAATTATACAGGTTAAAAGGTGCTAACAAGCATGGCCGAAATAGCTCAGTTGGGAGAGCGTTAGACTGAAGATCTAAAGGTCCCTGGTTCAATCCCGGGTTTCGGCAGTGATTTTTGTACAGAACTACCTGGACTGCCACTGACGTTCAGCCGGATCTATGTAGTAATTACTTTACTCCCTGATGTCATCTTGTGTCTCCTACTTCCTCATTATGTGTTCCTGTCGTCATTTTTGAATAATATAGAGTTAGTGTACCCTGACTGGTACTCTACTGAGCACAGCCCACTTCTTGATGACCTCACTTTTCTTTCGGGTTTCCTATATGGTGCCTGCCAGCTGCGAGATTTGGGGCTCCGGCTCAGGCTGGGCGTGGGGTGTGGCTGAGCTGGATCCTTCAGCCCGAGGGTTCTGAAGCCCAGGTCTCTGCTTGCCTGGCCCCTTCTGGAAAGAGTGTGGCTCACGGGGTTTGTCCATGTCGGGTGACAATAACTAGGATCCGCAGACTGCCGGTGGATGGAGTGCGGGGGAATGAAGGAATCCTTGTCCGGTTTCGGCCTACACTAGCGTTATCAGGCCAAATACAGCACACCTAAATAAATGTGAATTTCAGAGACAAAACCCTTTAGAATAATCATTGTCCCAAATTTTGCAGGGAACATATAAAGCAAATGTCGTTGTTTCCGTGGAATTCCGTTGTAACTAAATGCACTGTATTTTCATTTGCTACATTGAAAAGCGCTATTACACAGCCTCCTGCCCTCTGACTTTAATGCTCATTCACCTTGAGTCCCACCCAGCAAAGGTACCCAGACTCCAATCACTCAACTGAATTTAAGAGAGAGAACTATACTGAGCCTCACTGCTTCACAGTTTTTACAGGCATATCTGCATCTTTGAGCTGACTGACTCACTCCTCCAAATACCCCGCTTCATCCTCCTCCCCACATACCCCACATGTGTGTAGGCCTCCAGAAGCTGACCAGAACTGTGGTGGAAAACAAGAGATTCTGAAGGCTTTGGACTGGATTCTAATACAAAACAACAAACAAACCCAGAAACGTTCTAGGGTGATGAGTCAGCCATGAGAGAACGCAATGGAGCAATGCTCAGTGGAGTAAACAGAGTCTTCTATGAAGCCAGGTGCCAGGCTGAACCACGGGCAGAAAAGACGGAGACCCAAGTCTCGCATTCTGAGATCACGCACTATGGTAAGAACAACAGCAGTTCCCACAGCAGTAAACCCAGCAGCTTTCTGCAGCCGACTTTTGCGCTTCTCCTTCCCTTCATCGCCAAGAGGCTAGACGATACGGGGCTTCATCCACCAAATCATTAGGTTCCTGGGAGGAAAGATGTGTTTCGGTCAGAGACTCGTCAAACTCCAATGATGACCAGAACAAACCGAAATGGCCATCTAATAAACTGGACAGTTCAAACTTTGAACGATGGATGTCACATGAGCTGTGAGTAATTTTTACGTGTCAAGTAAAAACCAACAGTGCTTGGTTATTTGGTTTATTTGGCTAAACACCAATCTAGATGTTATTGGAGAGAGAGAGAGAGAGAGAGAGAGAGAGAGAGAGAGAGAGAGAGAGAGAGAGAGAGAGAGAGAGAGAGAGTGTAAAGGTAGTTATGGCCAAGCTTGATGATCTGAATTCATTTCCCAGGATCCACTTGGAAGGAGAGAACTGATTCCTGAAAACTGTCCTTTG